CTTTGTTGCTGCTCACTCAAAACGAATCGTATCTTGATGAAAATTATACAATTCGATAGAAAAATGTTTTGTCTATTCCGGAATCTAAAAATCAGCTCAAACGGACTTCGGGAAGCGGAGAGATATTCGATATTTTTTATCAGATTTGAATATCGTGATGGAATTTGGAACAATCACTATATATGAAAGAATACGAGTGCTCAAAAAGTTTTCATACCTCAATATTTTAAATCATCGACAGTTGTATGAAAAACACTATTTCTAAACTTCGAACCAGCGGTCTGCCTTAGATAGTCAAGAAAACAATATTGTTTCTAAACTTTCTGTCTCCCCTTTTGTGTTAATTTGATCGTATAGAGAAGTAATATCTGTTTCATAAACAAGCTTAGCTGAAGAATCCTGTCTCGTTTTTTTTTTCGATACCATTGACTTAGATGAATATGAATAAGAAACTACGTCAGCAACCACATGATTTATCTTATTATACAACATGGTGGTTACCACCACCAGCTTCGGTCTCATCTCAAAATATAATATTATTTGATTCAGATGATGATATTACTATAGATAGACATAAGAAAAAACAAGTAAATTATTTTTTAAACTATTTCAACAATAAAAATGATATTTTTCATTTAGAAAACGACGACAAACGTTATGGCATCCACTTGCTGTATTCCAGTGAAAATATTTCGACAGAAATAAAAACCAGATTATGTATATTAGTATTAATTGGTAACACGTTTATAGTGAAAACACTAATAAAAAATGAACAAAAATATTGTAGAATTATTCAATAGTGAACGAGCTAAACATTGTAACAAACAAAAAGATGATAGAAAAGTAACGAATTGATGTTTCAATTTCATTGATTAAATCTTTTCTTTTTAATTATATATATTTCAATATATTAGTTTTTGTCCATTTTATCATTCCAAATGCATTCTTTTTAACCTTTTTGATCAAATTCATGAAAGTCACGACAAACTTTTGATTATTTAATTCTGTCGAGGCACTTTTCACAACCCAAAAAGTTTGAAAATCAACGACGATTGTTGCCCTATAACATAAGAAAAGAGATTTGAAAAATAAACACAGTTCTTGCAGTTAAAAATAATTACCAAAATTGAACTTGATCTTGACTATTCATGGATTTTGGTTTCTTCCATGTGAGTTCCAGCTGCTTCCATTTTTGAGGGGAACTATGTGTTATGCCATCGCCCTAAAAACAATGTCTAGTTAACGAAAGTAAGTTGAAGTATTATTTTTCACAAACAGTTGGACATTGTACAAGATGTGTTACTGATGGTATATCAATGAATGTACCTAGTGGTTCGTCACCATCGATTTTTCGACCTTGTACAAATATGCCTTTGATTGGTTGATTTGATTCGATTTGAACTAGAGAATTTTACAAACAAAAGAACATTGCTTCATGGAAAAGTAAACTATTTTACTTGATATTGTTTCATTATCTGGATTCCATGCTGTATAAAATTTTGTTATTGGACTTGTTGTTGGTGGTTGTGGTTCAATATGATGATGATGAGGCACCATCGAACCGGTGCATACTTTTTTTGGTGCACCATTAGGATATGCATAGATATGAAAAGTTAGCTGACATGCAGCAAAAACAAAAAAAAAAAGATTCATTGTTAAATGATACATGAATGAAAAAGATACATGTTGTTTATATAGACATATGGTTAGGATAAAGAATGAAAAGAATTCATCATGGCTCAAGTAGCTATTCGTTATCTTGTCTTTCCTCTCGTCTTCGCTCTCTCTCGTACACATATGCATGTCTGTATAATATACTTAGGTCGTTGAACACAAATTTATTACCCACCTGTAAACGACTTTATATAGCCGTGACCGTAAACGAAGTCGTTAAAATGCATTTAGAAAAAAAAGGGTGAAGTAAAAGGTTGAATGTATATGGTTTCTGCGAACAAAAATGAATAAATAAGTGTTTTTTATTGTCTGCGATACGAAAAACACAATATGCTGATATCGCTGAGTCATGTACGTCGTTGTATTTCTTCTATGCGTACAGTTGTCGATGGCTGTATCTACGTGACCTGAGTAATTGCGCACATTTTTTTGAATTTGAAAAACGAATCAACGAAACAGAGATTCATGACGAATAAAAGTCAACAAGAGATGAAAGAGAAATCGAAAGAAAATAAATTATTCATATGTATATCATGGTGCGATACAGGCAAAATCATATTCTAACATATTTCTACATGCAAGAAAAATGTCTCGCGGTCAGCATTTTTCAACAGTGATAAAGATGGAAGAATAAATATAATATGACTATAGGAAACGAAAAATAATTACTTGTCAAATACTGTCGAGAACGAGAAACAAAGTAAATCAAGTGTAAATTTCGATATCTTTGTTTTATATGTCAAAGCGTCAAAAAACTTAACTATAAAAGCAATACAAATACAATCTAAATAGAAATGCATAAATTTGAACAAACACCAAGCAAACAGAACAATGAAAACCATAGAAACCGATCATTAACTACCGTTTTTCTTTCAAAAATCTCTTATATCTTTGCTCATTTCCTTTTTTAAAATTGCAATCGTTTATCAAATACTTTTATGCGAAGCATTGTAAATTGAGTACACTTCACATAACTTCAGCTCTTCATTCGTCATTAAATCTAGTGTTTTTTTAGCACACTATTCTGAGAACAGTATAACCAAGTTTTAGTTTTGTTTCAAGATAACTGAATTTCAAGACCAGGAAAATTCCACTCATATTTTATTTTCGTAACTGATAAACACCTAAGGCCAGATTTGTTAAGAATTCTAGCTACAAGATATTAGATATAAATAGATTTATATTTAGTTTAAATAATCCTTAGTCACTCTTTCTTGAACAAATACGCTATCAAATGGGACTTTTTCATGTGTGTTAAGCTTATTCATACATATAGATACTAATTTTACTAGGGTTAACTGGTATGTTGAAATTTTAAAGATCTTGATTACAGCTACTGTGTAGGCGATAGATATTTCAGCCATTATTCTTATGTTACATTCGTATAGCTTAAGAATACGACTTTGTTCATATGAGACCAAGAAAAAATAATTTGAAGACGAGAAAAATGAAAGAAATATAAGCATATGTTTGAATTGTAAAACTATGTCTATGGATAGTTCGATGGAACAAATTTTATTTCCTATATGATAATAACAAACACGATCTATAAATGTAAACGATACACTTTAACTAAGAAAAAAACCATTGACTTTTGCTGCTGATTCGTAAGGATTTCATCTTCCTCGAAGATTTAACTTTTGCAAAAAAATTGAAATTGTGTTTCACTCAGAAAAGGATTCAGCAAAATTTTCTCTCCTATCGTAGGACTTCAGTGGAAATAAATTAAATTTCAAAGCGAATTCAACACTATTTTCGTGTACCTTTTTCTTCAAATTGTATGAAACTATCTTTTTTGAGAACTTCGATTAACTCTATCATGAATGTTCTGCTTGAGTATGTTTTATTCTTGGCATCTGAATGGAAAAAAAACAGCACATCCAAACTTCTTCATTTTTTTGTTCAAAGCACGATATACATTAAAAAAATATTGAACCTCTCTAGTTGATTCACGATATAATTAATAAACTACAGTGTGACTAAACTTTCTCTTTGTGTGTCTGTTGATAGATAAAAGTGAGACTTTGTATTAGGTATGAGTTCTTAGTTTATTTTAACACTGACAAGTCACGCTCAACTATGGGAGAAATACAATATGAAACATCTCCTGAATTCCATAAGTGAACTGTAAATAAGCTGCAAGTTTCGTCTAATTTAAGACACTCGTCTAGCATTTGCCACAGAACCTTTTCTCAATAGTATCACTGATTCTTTGAAGCTTCAATCACAGTAGGCACTTTAAATGGTAAGTCTATTGCAACGAGTAGACGTATCAATCTTCAAAAACTGAGCCAGAGCAAGTTGATATATTTAATTAAATTCATACGATGTGATTAGAATAATTTATTTTACTAATCATATGTAGAGGATGTATTTTCGTAAACAATTCATTCGTTAAAACGGTCACTCTATGTTTTATTCTTTACATATGCTCATCATAATTTAATAATAATAATAATAAGTCATCGCGAAATATTATTTTCCATTGCTTTAATTGAAGTCAAGATTCAACATATCAAAAAGCAAATGAACCGCCGATTTCAACCACAAAATCTTAAGAAACAATATTCCGAAATTGATCGGAAAAGTTTTATGTAAAGACAAAACTTTTCCTATAATTAAATTCAAAGATAATTATGAAAGTTAATCAAACCCTCTTGTCGATTTACAGACATTTTCCCGTTGGTTACTAACGAGTGCTTCATTTAATAGTTACTATGCTTCTCTTATCACTTTCATTTGTTCAATACAAAAGGATCTATATTACCAGTGGCGGTGCGAAGGGCTAAAAGCAGGAGGAGATATTTTTTCAAAATGAGAGAATATCACCGATATATTATACTCGAAGCGAGAGAAAATTTCATATAATTTTTGTCAAAATCGGAGACAATTGAGTTCATATTTTTTTCAAAAGCAGGAGGGGATACCTTCCCCCAACTCTCCACCCTCTTGGTCGCACCGTCACTGTATATTACAATATATTATTGCGTTTGAAATAAATTTAAATGTATAAATTTACTTCAAGGCTTCGAGTTCTTCTTATCTTTTGGGTATGCATCTATTAGAGGTAGACACGTAGTACAAATGACTTCTACATCTTCTGTCGACAGCACGCACACACTCTTAAGTGGCATAAAATGTCTACGTTTGCAATATCGACGAAGTTTTTTTTTCTTCACATTTTACCATATTTAGTACATATCCATTCTTCAAGTGATCGTGTTACCTCCTTGAATAATGAACGCTCAAATACTTGACATAGATATTTAATCATATTCTAGATACAAACAAATAAAAACAATGGCATATCGATCTATGACAATCTGTTTATTTCGATAGCAAACGTCTCAACAAATTGAGTACTGTCATTGAGTAAAATAGTAGCAACGTGACTATTCCAGAGTTTATCAGAAGACAGTGAAGTTTTCATCAAGACATTCAGATCAATTGAATAGACGTACCAAGCAATGTAATATGGAATTGAAATCAACGAGAAAAAAATAGAGATAAAAAAGAAAAGAAATAAAAGCAGCACGTAATCTCAAGATAAATAAAAAAAGGAAATGCATCTCTATCATGTAGTAATAAATAAATCAAATCGGTTCTCTGGTGATTATAGTACATCAGGGAGACGTTAATATTTATTAGAAATTCTCCGTATTATGAATTTCTTTTTTTGGCATAAAAAAAATCAGGAAAATGTGAAGGCTTCATATTTTAGGCGATAAAGAGTAATGTTGACAGGTATTTTTCAAGCATCAATAAATAAGTCTGTCTAGTTCAAAACTTTCGACTTAAATCAACTGAGTATCTTTTGACTAGTTTCGATCTTGAAAATTATTTTTCTCTTCTATTTTGTTCATTCAGGCAATGTGAATCCATCATTCATCTTTTCAAATTATATATATATTTATGCGCCTTGTCTTATATTTTATCTGGCCATAATAGTCAACATAATATTAATATTTCCGGAAAAAACATCTGCAATTGTGTATTTCTTTTCCACTTGATAAACCGATTTTCTCCCGGAGTGCATTAATGTAACGCAACTAATGAAGAATATTCTATTATTTACGTGTAAAAAGCTAACCTAGATGACTAGTTAGTGTTTCATTTAGCATTCAGTTTTTTTTTAAATCATTTACATATTCATCAAACTATCTTAATCCTTATTCCGGAAATATATAAAAGAAAAAAAAATGAAGTGATCACTTAGTGCGCACAAAAGATAACCAATGCATTTCAACCATTTTATCTACCCTCGAACTGAACTTTTGTTTCCTTTTTGTAATATCTATTTTTATTTTTATTCTTTTACTATATTCCTTCAAGTAGATTGCATGTATAAAAAAAATCTAGTATCTATCTATAACTCAAATAGAAAAACCATTGTTGAATTCAATATGATTTTAAAACTAATAGATAAAATTGTTCGTCTCCGACACTAAATAAATAATCTCCTATAATTAAAAGAATTCAAAAATATAAATTTTGAAATAATCACATAATAATATCATACTGGAAAATGAAAATCATATATCCGACAGTTATTAAATGTTCCTAATTGAAAAAATGATTACTTTTGACTAAAAATAGAAAAAAGTAGATTCACTCTGATTATCTCGATTTATCATAGCAAAAAACAACATTCTTTCAGAACTAATTAAAAACGATTTATTTCTATATTAACAATCGTATAACTAATCCAAATTTAAGGATATAATTAATCCGATAAAATAAAAAATTAATTAAATCGTTTTACTTTATTGTCCCATGTATAGCAATACACATAAAACGCTGCGACAAAATATTGAAATCATTAGGATATATTTTCCGACATTTTGATACTAATATCACAGCTATATTACAATATGTCATTGCTCTATTATTGTTGATCGAAATGTTAATAGAAAGAAAATAAGTTTATCAGCAGCTGTTAACAATAGAACATTGTAGTCGACATCAAACTAGCTATGTTATCTCGATAGATAGTTTAATGAAAAGTCGAATATTGAAATTTCTACTTTTTTCAGTCAAACCAAATAAATAAATAAATAAGATGCAATGCACCTTATAGAATAATATCAATATACATTATGATCATCATCAACGTCACAAATATTGAAATTAAATGTCATCACTTATTATTTCATCAACAATCTTTATAACGATTTTAATATTCCTTAAAAGAAATTCGAAGTATTTTTCTTTGCAGTTTACTCAAAGTACTTGAATTAATTTTTTTAAATCCTCATTTACCTACGAAAATGCATAAACAATTTTTTCTTTTCTCTTTCTTTCTTTTTTCTTTTTCTATAGTTCTTTCTATTCGAACTTGTGAACACCTGGAAGGTAAATGTTTCAATTAATAAAAATGAATTATAAAACTTTGAAATTAAATTGAAAAAATGATAATGTTTTATCATTTACATTTTTAATACCAACTTGAAATAATAAAGTGAGTTCATTTATATAACTCTTAAATGCTCATCAAGCGCGATAAATAAAGTTTGATTTATTTGAACATTTTCCAAATTCAATGAACAATTTTGATTTAAAAGAATATTTCTCTTGTTTTACGCTTGAATGATCAACATGAAATCCTATTGAAATTTTCATTAATTAGGAAATTTTCATTTCAATCATAGAAAAAAAAATTATCTGATGAGTACTTTTTTGTGAGTGTCAACGAGTTCATTGAAATATTTGATCAATATTCATACATCAAAAAATGCATAATTATAGTTAATAATTAAAAACATGAATAGAGAAGTATTTTTAATAAAATAACAATATTTATTCTACTTCGTTCTTATCTATTTGATTCAGTTTCTCTAATTATTCATTGGTTATGAGTGCAGGACAAGAAGCATATTATAGAACAAAAAGTATAGCGCCATCACCAATTGCTTCGTTCTCTCTTTACACTCGGTCGACAGCGGTGATGACTAGAGATAGTTAACGACAACGAAGAAAAAAAACTGCCCGCCAACTCGACCGAGGCTCCCCGTCTGATTTATTAGACATCTTCTCATTCCCTTTTTCTTTCTGTTCTGCATAGTCGTTCTTCTCTTTGACTAGAGCAACTATTTTCATCGTGGTTGTTAATATAATAATAATAATATTATTTTCGAGAACAGTCTCTTCTCTATCTCTCTCTCTCTCTGTGGATAATATTACTTTTTTTTTCCGTATAACCAAACATATAGACACTCACACAGATAGAATCTTGTAATCATTCAACTCATACCATTGGACAAGAATAAACAAAGACAGTTAAACTATATGGGTGACATTATACACATCTTTATTCAGTCTGTTCTCTCATTTTTTTTCCTTAACCATCATTCACTCGATGCATTGGCGCGCGTACATGCACAATCGCCAAAGATGTGAATATACAGGAAGAGAGAAGAAATTCTTTTCGTCACTTTTTTTTCGTTTTCATTTTTTCGAATTTATCATCAGGGCAAACGAGCAGGAAAAGAAACAGAAAGAGTTGAAAGGACAGAATGCGAGCGAGTTTTTCTACTATTCATAGATGATTAAAAGTCAGATTAATTAGTTTGTCCTTGCTTCATTCATTTTCTTGCTTTTTTTTTCATTAGCCAGCAACATTGTTACGATCAATGAAAGGTAAAACTTGAATATAAAACGAGAAAGATCCGTTAATCTCTTTTTAATTATTATTTCTTGTTCCACCGAAAAAAAAAAGAAAAAAAGTCATTTGATTTTTTTTACTTTGATGAAAACAGATGAGAGAAATATTGAAAGACAAAGAAAAGGTTTGACTAACAAGAGTAAGCCAACCAGAGTAGATTACTTTTTGATTCTTATATATATGTCCGTGGCAAATCGGTTTGATCCATGCATATGCATATATATATATATATATGAGGTGGCAATTAAACTTGGCCTATCTCTCTTTTTTCTCTCCTCTCATATAACCCTTTATATATAAATATATTCTAATATGCAAATCGAGCGCGAATAAGCGAGGCTTGTATTCATGTTAATCGTCAATCAGTGAAACACTAAAATCATATTTCTCTTCTTCTTTTCTTTTTTTTTATAGACATTCATAGGTATTGTATGATGACGATGGAAGCATCATCGAATAGTCGAGATGGACTATCCTCATCATCATCAACAACTACTACTGCTACTATTACTTCATTACAGTTATCTGTTGAACAGTGGGAATTATTAAGACGTTTAAGAAATAGTCATCTATCGAAAACACAAATTATTCGAGCCTATGATGAACTTGATCGGCTTGATCGTGAACTTGGAAGTTTATTTAATAGTGCACCTCCTGTTCCGCCCATTCCGTCTTCATGTACAAATGTTCCTTCAACCGATCCAGTATCGCCTTCAACATTAAATTCTCAACAAGTATCTCCACCATCATCAACATCTATAACCAACAATAATAATAATAATAACAACAACAAACGACCACATAGTCATAGTGTTAATGGTGTAATACCTGGTAGACAATCGAATGGCTATCATTCATCACAAAGTCATCCGTCAACGTCATCATCACTTATTGGTCTACGGCCAACAAGAAATAGTAATAATGAACTAAATTCATCGATGATAAATCAACATGAAACAATAAATCAAAATGATCTTGAAGAAGAAAATCGAGAATTACAAGAATTACTAGCGTAGGTTGATAAAGAAGAATATTTTCATTTTGGTATATCTTTACAAATGTCTCTTTCTCTCCTAATACGAGAAATTGAGCATAGAAGTGTTTAATTTGACAAAGAAAAGCGTCACAAAAATTAACAAATTCACAGCATTACTTTCCATTGTTAGGTGTAAAAGTGATACATTATTAATATCCATATCGTACTAGGTAGTTTCAAAACAAAATTTGACAATGTTCTTTTACTTTTTGAAACTAATCATTCTTCTATTATGCATTGTTTTTTGATATCGTACAGATTTTAGAATCGTAAGCAAAATAAACATAAAATTTTTATTTCTTCTTTAGTAAAGGTGATGTTGCTATTCATAATGAAATCTCTGTTTTTGTCTATCGGTATGATTTAAAGCAATCACAAATAGCTCGAATGGCAGGTGAGTTCTATTGATTTTTTTACTAAAAAATAAAATATTAATAATTATTCGATTCGTTTTTCTTAAAGCTGTGAATCAAGCCTATGTGTCGAAATTTTTACGTGGTGATTTATTTGATTTATCAGAAAATGGTCGCATGGCCATCTGTCGATGGTACATAAGATATAGAAAAATTGTTCAATCTATGAGTAAGTTATACGAAATATTTTTCTTATCAATTATTTTTCTCATTAAACATTTATTTGATCCATATTGGAGACATTAGCGATCATTAAAAAAATAAAGTACGAATACTTATGTTTAACTGATCGATTTGATCATATGTACATTATGAGTTGAATTTGTTTTTAATTATCAATTTATAGATGTACATATAGAAACACGTAGGCAAGAAAATGATAGTTAAATTGAATTTTTTTAATACGATCTTTGAATGTCTTCATAGAAGCTAAGAAAATGTTATAATGCATAGAGATTTATAGAGCATGATCTCGTTTTATGTAATCAAGGATTAATCTTGTTCAGGAAATTAATGAGAAAATCGTAAACCTCTAAAGCTTATGCTATTTTAACAAAAAAATTGAAGTTCATATTTTTGATTCCCTTCGTACATAACTTTATCGTGTGAGAAACGACGTAACTCTTCATATTTTTTATTTAGGTGGTAACCAACCATCAGCTGAATTATTAGCTAATTTAACATCATCATGTGAACCACCAACTAAAATTCCACGTCTTGGTGAATCTCAAATAAATAATAATGCATCTCCTGTTTCATTTGATACACCTAAGCGCACTCGATTTACCTTTCGACCTGAACATCTCGACGTAAAAATCGATTGCATTCATACTAAGAACTAAACAATGAATAATAATTGTGTTGTTTTATTTAGATCCTTGAAAAAGCTTTTATTGATAATCCATATCCGGATCCACGACGTCGTGAAGATCTAGCTCGTGCATGTAATGAAGCTCGAACACGAATCGATGGTTCAAATGAAGTATTAAATGAACGTGATCGTGTCACTGATGCCATCGTCACACATTGGTTTCAAAATAAACGAAAAATGACCAAAAGTCAACGAGGTATTTATCAGTTATTTTAATAAACAAAAATTATTTTATTCGTTTAGTATCAATGCAAGAAGAATCAATGCCACTAAGCATTTCAAATGGTAGTAATAATCATCCATCAACAATGTCAATGAATGATTTTGAAAGTACTAATGGTGATGATGATATTCATATTCCTCAGCACCATCTTCAACAACAGCAGCAACATCAAAAATCAACTGTACCTGTTGTTGATGTCGACTGTTTTGATACACCATCATCATTACTGGACCCACAGATGGCTGCATATCATGCTATAATGAGTCGTATGGTACCATTTGCAAATAATATTAATGGACATAATTTGTCAAAACGTTTTGTTAAACAAGAACCGATTTTAAAACAAGATGACTCGAGTAATGATGTCGAATCAAACTCTCAATCACCATTAAATGATCATTTATCGCCGTGAAAAATATTTAATTAATCAAAATTTTTCTATACATATATATACATATATAAATATTAAAAATCTATTCTTGTTTATTCTAGTCTTTGTCTGTATCTGTGTAATGTATTCATATACATTCCTTTGTTTTCGTTTTCTTTTTGAATAGAAATATACTACAAGAACAATTTTCTTATATAGAATGAAATATATAATTACAATTATGATGATTTTTGTTAAAAGATCGATAAGAATTAAAAACCCTGTTGGCGAAGTACAGACAAGAACTGTATGATAAATTTTCTTTTACGTTTTCTATTCAGCTGGTGTAGCTATTTATCAAGTGTGATGCCTTAATGAAATATTGCGCTTAGAATAACTAAAACTAACGTCACTGAATTATTTAATAAATTATGTTCTATAATGAATTACGTAGTTGACGTTAAAAATGAGTCTTTTTTGCTTGTAGAAATTTACGATATTGTAAAAGGTCAATCGGTATGGCGGCATGAGTTTCTTTCTTTTTTTCTAAATAAACGTGCTACTAATTTAGTTTCATTCATTATTTTAATCAGACTCTCTTTTCATATATGAAAATTCTAATTAGTGTCTATAATATAATTTACATAAGAAGATAAAAAGCGCAAAAAATAATTCTAATATAGAAAAGGAAATAAAGAAATAAATGCACAGTTATTAACAAATAACATATGTCCTGAGAAAAACATTCTAATTACGATTTTTTTTTCTTGAAATACTTATCAAGGGTACCATTCTAAAAGTAAGAGAAAAAAAGGTAGATTTATTTTCTTTTTACAATTATTATGGATGATGATTTTTACTTTTCCATTGGTTGTTTTCAATTTAATCTGAGGTAATGCTGTATTAAATACCTAAAAGAAAAATTTAAGAGTGATTTCAAATAATAAATTTCTAACTTTTTTCATAGCTGTTGAAATAGCTGATGCTTGAAGTTGTTCTTCATTGAACCACTGCATTTGTTTTGTGGTTATTAATAGATCATTGTGTTCACAATAAGCATAATAAATAATATATTGCTTATCAATATGAGAGAAAAGATGACGGCACTAACAATAGATTGAACTTTATTTCTTTTAGAAAAGTATTTCATCATTACCTGTCCAGCTAATTTGATATTTTCAACATTGATTGTTTTATCGAATACGGTCATACGTTGAATTTCTTCGATAACAAAATTTTTTCGTGTTTGTTCATTCATGTGATCAAGATCATTTGAAGTATTGATTTCTGTAAATGACCAAAGACCAGATAGAAGACCTGATTTTTTTTGTTTAATCATTAGAAATTCAAGTTGATGAGTTAAACGATATAGAATAAGAACAAATGAGGTTTCGTCTCGTTGTTTAGTTTTGGCTTTTTTTCGTGGATAATTTTCAACAAGAGAACGATTAGATTCCATATCTTCAGATCTTAAACACAACGAACAATTTGATGCACACTCTTCAATATCAACAATCATTTGTCGAGTCTAAATGAATAATTTGAAAAAGGAAAATTGCATACTTGAAATAATCTATATACTTGTTGTAAATATGCTAAACATTGATTTTGAACTGGACATATATCACATTTAGGTCTTTGTGGTGTGCATACTGTAGCGCCTAATTCCATGAGACTTTGATTAAGATCACCCGGTCGTTCAGGACATACAATATCAGTTGCTAAAGACCTATATAGATGAATTAATAAAGTATGTATTATATATATATATAAAAGTTGATCGAAATATTTTGTGCAATTAAATTACCATAGAAAATCGGATGTAGATTTTTTCTTTAACTCACTACCAATACATCGCATACGAGATAAAACACGAATAACATTACCATCAAGAATTGGATTTGGCTACAAAAAAAAATGATCATCTCAATCAAAAAAACCACAAAAAAAGAGTAAAGAGAATAATAAAAAACCTGACTAAATGCAATTGAACTAACAGCACCCGCTGTATAACGTCCAACGCCTGGTAGTCGATTAATCAATATATCCAAATCTTTTGGAAATTCACCATCAAATTCATTGATAATCTAATTGAGAGAAGAAATTTTCTAGCTAACAAAAATTGTTCAATTTACTAAATGAGCACATTTATGTAAGTTTCTTGCACGGTTATAATAGCCAAGACCTATATGAAAAGTAAAGAAAAGGAAATTCTGTTAAAAATAATACCAGCCCAGCATTTGAGAACATCCTAAATAAACAAAAAGTTTTGTGATATTAATAAGACAAAAAGTCATAGTTTACATCTTCAGTAGCTTCAGCCAGCGCTTTGATATCTGGCCATTGCTAAAGAAAAAACACACCATAGAGAACATGATGTATGAAGAAAAGAATTTTATCTACTTTCATCCAAGTTTCATAATATCGAATAACAGTGGCAACTTGAGTTTGTTGAAGCATTAATTCAGAGACTAGTACTAAAATTAGACACACGACAAGAATATATACAATGGTCAATATGTCTTAAAACCTCGATAGGCAACCACATTTGAATCTGTATCATGCCAATCTCGCCAAGGTAATTTTCGTTTATATGTATCATACCATGCTAATAATGAACGACGGCCAATTAGAATTTCTTCTTTTGAAAATCGATGTCGAGCCATATTTATCTATAATATAGAACTGAATAGTAAACTTTCCGTCACTATTTAACTGCCAATACTATCAATTAGAATTAATTCTATAGCAGTTCGGACGATTGAGAGGTAGTGGCCATCGTGAATAGCATTGATCAATGGTTATGACTATTTTTTTAAAACTAGACAGAGACCCATTTGCGGAACCTAACCAACAGGGGCGGAGTCAGGGGGGAGGCTCAGCCACCTAGCGAGATTTTAGAAAATGCATTTTTTCATATATAAATGTGTATTAATGTTTCCAGTTTAACGTTTTAACAAGTGCTGCCAGGTAGCGAAGTCAAAAACCCAGAAAAAAGCAAGAAAAACTTTTAGAATCCCAGAAAAATCCAGAAAAACTTTCAAAATTCTCAAAAAATCCGATAAAATTTTCAAAATTCCTAAAAAACTGCAAAAAGACTTTTAAAATCCGGGAAAAATCCAGAAGAATTGTCAAAATCCGAAAGATCCGCCAAAACTGCTCCTAAAGCGCGCTTTTAAAAGTGGTCCCTCGCCCCCAATTTTAGGATGTTCTCGACACCTCTGAGGGGCTGAGCCCCCCCCCCTAGCCCAAAACCCTGGCTCCGCCACTGCTAACCAATATTAATAGAACTCATAAATGACGAACACAATCGACATAGTATCAGATGGTAAATTCCTGTTCATTGATTCATCACATATTCCCCATTCCTCCCCTTTGTTTATTACAATTTTACTATCATCAACTACTATATTATATTTGTTTTTGTTTTCAAGAAAGAATCATAGAAATAGAATCAAAAAGAGAAAAATAAACAGAATGTATCCGCAATAGTGCTAAAATGCAAAAATAAATTAACAGTCAAAGAACAAAAAAGAATAAGAATCAATTATAGCGATTTGACTAGTAGTTAAGGTTTTACAAGGAAATTTGGAAATTTGAAAAAGAAACACGAATAGACATTTAAAAAAATTTGATTAATTTTGTTCGTAAACATACAAGAAAAGAATCAACGAGCTGCCGCTACACCGTGTGTTAAAACATCATTGCACAATTGACAAACTCTTACTGGTTTTTGCAAATTAAATTTCATAATAGGTAATTCATTAACAGAACATCGTTTGCATAAAACTCGACCACAATGTCGACTAAAAATAAATAACAGCGAATATAATAATATTTTTCAGTATAGTCATATAGACTCAAAATAATACTAACCAATGATGTCTTCGATTTGTTATTGTAAATTTTGTTCCACATTCTAAACAAGTCTCACCTTCACCCCATGGTGGTTCACGAGTAATAATATCTATAATAATATATTCATGAATTTATGATTATAGTAATTAACAACTTACCAAGAATATTAACAAGTAAAGCTTTGCTTGGTGCCGGACTAGTAAATATTGATAGTGAGTCGTTATTACAAATACTTAAATTAGCACCAGCTGTTACAAGAGCACGGCATAATTGGCCATGACCATTTTTATAAGCCAATAAGAGAGCTACCAGAAATCATATGTGTTTTTGTGTGTTTCACTGAAAAGTCCTAGAGCAAAAACAAAAAGTTACCTGTATTTCCTTGTGCATCTTGAATATCAAGAGGAAATGTTGGATAACGTTTTAGAATTTGTTCAAATATAAATTGAGCATTTTCTCTACTATTAGCTGCTAAAACATGAAGACAGTTCATTCCTCTAAAAAAAAGGCCGAATTAGTAAAATAAATTCGAAAATCAAAAAAAAATTATACTTAGCATTTGTTGCCAACTCATCAATATCAGATTCTGCTAATAGACAACGTACAACATCGGCATGAGCATGTTGAACAGCCAGATGGAGTGCTATAGGAAAACAAAAGCAAAAAATTGAATTCTTCAAAACAAAAAAATTGATTATTCATACCAGTATTTTGATTAGCATCAACTAAATTAGCCTGAATATGATTTTCAAGAAGAATATTACAAATAGCAGCGCGATTATTTTCTGCTGCAATATGTAGAGCTGATCGACTATTAGCTGTAACGTCATTAATCTTTCCACCTGCAAGTATCTATACAAAAAAGTTTGAACATAATTTATAGAGAACTGTTGAAATTATTATTACTAAATTTCGAAGAATAATTTCACTTCCTATTTGTACAGATAAATGAAGTGGCGTAAATTTACTAGCATCTTGTACACAATTATTAACATTAACATGAACAGTTAGTAAAAATAGAACACTTTCGATATCACCATTTTGTACGGCGACGTGAAGAAAATTTCTACCTTTATTATCCAGCTAAAAAACAAAATTCTTAGTTTTTACTTTTTTGAATTAGGGAATAGAGATCTGTCTTGGTTTTCATCATCTTCTTCTAATGAACGTACTTGTTCAGCTGCTCGTGGTTCCCGTTTTAAAATAAGATTTGCAGCTTCGTTATTTTTCGCTACCATCGAACAAGCGAATGGCGTTTGATTTTGTTTATTACGTATGGTTAGATCTAAACTTGGTGCATTAAGTAATAGATTTATTATAGCTGTATGTTGATTTATGATTGCAACATGTAATGGAGTATTAGCTTCAGCATCCTAATAATACGAAATTTTCTAAATAATTAAAAGATTTTTATTTTTTGATAGCACTTTTTTATTTATATCAGCATGATATTCAATTAATGCCGAGACAACTCGTTCCAGACCCCATTGAGCCGCTAGAATGAAATTAATAATCATTTGATGAACAGTAAAATTCTTCTTGAATCATACCAAGATGTAAAGGACTTTCAAGAGTTTTGCATATATCAGGTGCTTCACCGTTTACACCAGACTGACGAGAAGAATTAATATCACAACCACTATCAATTCAACAAAATTTGTTGTAATTCTCAGAGTACACATTGATACAAGTTTACCTTCGGATTAGAAAACAAGCGACACTTTCATTATTTTCATCGATTGCCCTGTGTAAGAGAGTTTGCCGACAATTATCAGGTCCATTTGACCATCTAGAAAATAGCACAATCTTCTATGTATTTATTTTAAATTTAATGCACTACACGCCAGGGGTTACTGTTTCCTTGTTTCAGTAAAAATCAAAGTTTCTTTCAAAAATAACTCCTGAACACTGTTTCCGATTCGAAAGCTGACTGATTCACTTGAATCAGAATAGTATGTTTGATTCTTGACTTTAAAAATATTCAAAGTATTTTTCCACAAGCAAAATATCTTACTGTGTACTGTCACAACCAAATTTGACAAGTATTGAAGCTATGTCTTCTTGGCCCGAATCTAATGCATTCCATAAAACACTATTATCGTTTTCATCAACAACGTTCATATTTGCTCCATTACGGCAAAGTGCTTCAACTACAGACGGTAGATGATGTTTCACAGCAAGTTGTATCGGTGATAAACCATGCGTTTTTTCATTAACATCAGCACCTTGTTCAAGTAAAAATAATGATGCTTGAACATTTTGTTTACTAATAGCTTGTGCTAATAATGGTGTTTGTTCACAATCTTTTATTTCTAATTTTGCATGACGAATCTGTAAAAGTTGTTTGGCTATTGGTAACATATTCATCCAAAGCGTTAATGAAAAAATACTTTGACCATGTTCATCTTGAATATTGAAATTTGGCTTTAAAAGTTCATCCGTAATTCTATCACGAAATTGAATATAAATCTCAAGTATACGTTCTTGTGATGCATAAACAGCGCGATGAATTGGCGTTTGAAGACCAACAATGGAGTTTGTTGCATCACTAAACGATGCCGCTGGATAAGTTTGAATATTTGGATTAGCACTATTTTCAAGTAATGCTCTTGTAAATTGTTCCAAACAAAATTGAGATGTTAGATGTAAAGCTGTTTCACCTTGTTTATTAACATGATTTATTATTGTACCTTTTTTTATTAAATAAAGTCCAGCTTGTTGATAATGATGACGAGCACATTTATGTAAAATGGATTCATTTGAATTTGGATCGATAGCATCTACGCTAGCACCACGACCAACAAGTAAACTTGCAAATGTTTCTTGATCAAAGCTAATATCTGAATTTGATTACAAAACAAAAGGCCAATCAATATTTTTGTTTTAAATATTTATTACTTGAAAGATACTTTCGTAGGAAAATTATTATAATTTCAATCCTATTCGAAAGAAGTATGCCTTAGATGTTTCCAAACAATAATCGAAGTATTTATTTGAAACAAATAATTAAAGTTTAGATAAAAACAGAAGTGCTCCACTATGGAAAAATATCTTATTGAAAGAACGTAATTATATTCAAATTTTTTGATAATAAAATGACATGTTCTTGATACAACATAAAGGTAACCGTGTATTCGAGTAATCAACTTCTTCTTTATCACTACATGTTCGTTATCAAGGTAAAGCGCTGTCTCTGTTTTGCTATCAACTGACAGCCATAATCAAATCTTCCCGCTACATTTTTCGGCCATGATAACTTTTTATTCAGTAATATATAAGAGACTTGCATACTTTCTTGGCCAATTCTATTTTCTCATTGTTCAAAATACTTTCTATATAAATTACGTACTGAAATGTAAACGTTCAAATCAGAACCAATAAGCTCCTATTGATTGCTATTAGAGATCCGTTATGAAATATTATTCTGTCTTTGATAAATATGACAGTCAAGCACTAGATTTGACATACTTTCGCTGAACTCTATATTCTTTAACAGGCTTAATCAACTTACGTAATTGTTCAGCTTGTTGAAGTGCTAGCCACAAAGGTACATGATCATCTTTATTTCTATCATCCAATGCTAATTTCGGTGCTTTTAATAATTCACGAAAGACATGCATATTATTAGCTAGTATTGCTCTATGAAGGCAATTATTGCCTCTTGCATCTTGTTTTTTTGTATCAGCATTATGTCCAAGCATAAGTTCTGCTACCCGACACATTCCAGCCATAATACCAGATTGTAATTCAGTAGGATTAAGACCACTTAATAAATGTAATGGTGTTTCACGTGCAACATTTGTTTGATGATTCAGTAAACAATCGTGTTTAATAAGAAATGTTGCAGAATGTTCATCACCTAAAGACATAAAACATTTTCATGTTCTATACATATTTCTTTAAAAAAAGTATGAATATTGTTTTTACCTCGTTTAATAGCTAAATGGAGTAATGTTCGATTTTCAGCATCAATATGATTAATATCTGCTTGATGACGGACAAGATTTTCCGCCATACTATCTTGTTTTGTTGTTAATGCTAATTCAAGTGCTAATTCACCATGATCATCAAGTTCATTAACACGTTGGGCTAACTAGAAGAATAAAGAAAGGAATTTTCGTTTTCGTTTTTTAGTCTTTCTTACCTCTGCATCATTATCAATCAAATAAAGAAAAAGCACATCTTCACGTTTCATGCGTACTGCTTGATGAAGTGGATATTTAGTTTTTTGTTTAAATAATTTATATGTCATTGGTGCAGGTAATTGTTGAAAATCTTCACTTGTAAAATCATTCTAAGTAGAAAAAAGAAACGGAACATATCAAATCATGAATATTTTCTCATAAGGATAGTAAACCCAATGTGTAGTAATTAATTGACTGCAGTGTGTATGTAAAACTTGTGCACCAATTTCTTCTGCTACTTTATAGAATTTTAAACAATTTCGAACTGTTATTGCTGATATTAATGCAGCTTCACATCTGAATAATAGAAGATAAAATATTTAATCGTACAAAACAAAGGTTTATTTCTACTAACTGATCAATTAATTCTCTTAATTCAAAGCGTTTAGCTGTTTTCATTAAATGCAATAGAAAATCTTCATTTTGTTTCTCAGCTATTTCATCGGCATAAACCCATTTTATCAATTGAAATCCAACATCATATGGTACATCTAGAAAAGAAAAAAAATTATCAAAAGTAAAAAAAAAGAAATTTTTTCTTACCAGATAAATCAAGTTCAGTTGCATCACCTAATTGTTGTGGATCCCATTTAACACTACGTGCTGCTAAAATAAATCGATGGCCACGTAAAGTTTCTCCATCAAGTTTAATTGCTATATCACTGAAAAGAAAAGCATATGTATATTATATATGTATATATATATGAGTGTCGTTTTGTTTTTGCATTCTTTTATCAAACCTATAAAGTTCACGATTAAATAATTCGGCAACAGTTCTGAGTAAACGATATACAAACGAATTTTGATCTATTTTTGTTGTTGAATTAAGAACATTATAGTTTCGTTCTAGTGTTTTATATCTTTGTTGAAGTTTAACATATTCTTCACGAAGTAAAACAAGATGTTGTTGTAATTTGCTCACTTCATTTTGATTATCACCACCGCTCATGTTTAGTACGAGAAATAAAAATAAATCTAAACTGAAATAGAAGCTGCAATTCTAACCCGAATATTATCTTATAATAATCGAAAGAACGCTTCATTTTTCTTCTTCCATACTATACGTTCTGGATGTTTCGTGATTCTTTTGTGGTGAAGATTCGAAACCAAAGGAAAATAGTCTTTTATTTTATTTGAATAATGGCGACATCTGAATTAAATATTCGAAGATTCACTCGAAAGGCAATCTATAGTTCTCTTGCAGCATATATTGCTGCACAAAGATCTACTGCATCATGATTGAAGAGTTGTTGAAAGAATATTCAATATATATGAGAGAATGGCGCTGACATTATACGGTTGCTCTGCGGGCACGAAAAATCTTATAACTCAACTTCTACTCAATCGATTTGGGCAATTGACTTGTTAAAATGCTCCATTCAGTCCGTCCTACTCCCCATAAAATTATCGAGGTTTTTTATTTGCGTGGTAAGGATTTTTCAAGCATAAAAGATCATTACGAAAGCTGTTTGACAGAATCTATCGACAGAAATTCCTTTTTATATCCTACAATTCTGACTAGACAAATAGATTTTTTTACGGAAGTTGGCAGCTCAGGTTCTCCTCTTTTTAACCATATAAAGTAATCTTAATTTTAATTTTGATTTCCTGATCAAATTTTGCAAAAATATGAAGGCATACACTTTGACCATTTTTTGTCACAACAGATTAAATCGTAACTACTAAAGACTACTTACAAGCTAAGTCAAATTTCTGTTTTGTGTTTGATAGAGCAAAGAGCCAGAAATATTTTGATTAAAAAATAAATTTTAAAAATTTTCACGATAAAACAAAAAAGTAAAATAAAACAGATGGGTAGTCATTGTCGCACTAGATGTCACGACAGATTTCTTATTTTGACCTTTTGATTTCTCGTTAACTATAAGAGATTAGTCAATGAATTTTTTACCATTTTTGACTGAGTATATGGTACATCTATGGTAAAAAGTTGAGCTGTTAACTAAGTGTCGTTCACAAGAAAATGGCATTTTACTGAAAAAATGTCACAACAGATTAAAATAATAGATATTCGGAGAAAATATGATATTATTTCATCTTCTTTTACTTCTATCGACTCCTCTCGACTGAGAGACATTGTTAGACTTTTCATTTTTATCGCGAAACAATGTTAAAACAAACTTAGCTATAAAGCGCGGTTCTAAAAGAATATTCCTTTTTAATAATAGCAATCGCATTACACTCCCGAAAATGCATGAATAATACATGCGAGCAAAATTCTGCACATGTCTCTTGAATTCCCCGATTGAAAATGATTCGTTTCACATATGATAACCATATGTAAAAACATTTTACTCATAATTTTCTTTTTGTCAAGAAATCTCGGACCTTTCATATATTTTGAGATCTCAATTTTCTCTGAAATGGAAACCCTGGCAGTGGGGAAAATAGTTCACTCATATACAACAAATAAGGCTCTATCGAATGCACGAGTCAAATCGATCCTCTGTTTACTTTTATTTTTTTCGATTTTTTTCTTCAAACATTATGATGTCAGCGCAATTCACTCATATATATATATAGACATGCAAGAGAAAAGGTAACCGTGAGATGCAGTTCCGATTGATTTCAACAGTTATTTAATTAGTACAGACAATGACTTTTTCTGCACATAAAAATGTTGTTATAGAAAAGTCACACAATCTTTGTTGAATATTTTAGTCATATATATATATATATATTGTAAATGTAATGCTTTCAATTGAATAGCTTTTTATTTTAGTTTTTGAAGCGATTCGGTGTCAACAAACACGTAGTAGTAATGCAAAAATCATGAAGTTATTATTCGTAACCAAAGTGTCTTTTAATATTTGAAAAGGTTGATGTTTTATAGATACATGCTACTTAAATGTCGAGTATGCATCAAAAACAGGATTGACATATATTCAAAAGAAGTATTTCATTTCGTTTATATTGAATGAAGAATATTCACGAGTATCACACGATATTTGCTGCATTCTTGTTGTGCGCATTATTATTTTGTCTTATCATGATATCGCAAAAATATTGACATGTAGTTGATACCTACTAGTTACTATCATTGAATGTTTGATAAAAGAAATCTTCAAGTCTTCTTGGATGATGTTGAAACACTAATTTGAAAGAAAAAGGCAATTTAAGATTGTCGAATAATTATTCGTGTTACACGTATATATATAATTGTAGTAGGTCTATCGAGAGAGATTAACATCTGAATTTTCTAAATGTTGCCTGAATTTGTGAATGATTTGAATAGTATAGATTATTTTCCTTCACATATTTCTGTAAGACAATGTTAAAAATTCGATTGACTCATTGACAAATATCACTAATCTAAAATTTTAAAATCATAACATGCTTCAGAAAAATATTTTCTTTCAACAAATGATTTTAAAATTATCAAAAACTTTTATTGTAATTAATAGCGGTAGTACGCATATGGATAGTAACTATTAGGACGATGGACGTATGGCGTGGTGTTGGAATACATATTAGTTGGTACGGACATATAGGCATTAGGTTGCTGATAATATAGTTGTTGACCTGGATAATAGTTGGGCGGTTGTACTGCATATGCACTTGAAGGTATAGTAGCAGTTGGCGTTGGAGTTGGAGTTGGAATAGGAATAACTGGTGCCGCTGAGGGTACTATATCATTAGTTGATGTACGGATTTCAAACGTACGAACTCGATCTTGTCCAGATAAATTTGCATCATTTTCTGCTGTATTTGCTCCACGTCGGTCAATAATAATGATACGTTCTGTCATTGGCTGTGATGCTATTTCTGCCGGATTCGATTGTTGTTTTTTGGCAACTTTGAATAAATCTTCCATTGTTTCTGTGCCTATTTCTGTACTGGGTGCTGTATAAATTCTTCGTGTTGTTATTACTTCTTTATTGTTATCATCGTTAGTTGATTTTAATATTGATCTCTTGGTATTATAATGATTATTGGAAAACGAATTTTTGTATGGATCTGAAGATAATAGTGCATCATTATCATTAACGACTCGAACTCGAATTTTTTCGTTACCAGTATCTGTTGCATAATTTAAATCATTGCTACTTGCTGAACGTGACAACGAACGTGGACGTAAATCGTCAGCAGTTGATGAACGACGTATTGAAGGAGTAAATTTATCGTATGATTGCTGTTGAGTTGGTTGCATTACATTCGAAGGTTGCTGCTGTTGTTGTTGTTGTTGATAATAAGCAGCATGTGAACGAGGCATTGTTGCATATGGATTCATATACTGCCAACCTCCAGTTGATGCTTGAGGAGAAGCCGGTGGGGCATAAGCAGGCTGACGTGCCTGTTGACTTAATTGTCGTTGATATTGACCTTGCTGATACACAGCATTTGAAGCACTCTGAGAATTTGTTGTTGGTTTCGCTGGTAACGCGGAAACAGGTGATGTTGGTGTTGAGGGCTCACTTGTTTTAGATGTAGAAGGTGCTGGTAGACTTTGCTTAATAAAAGTTGAATAAGCTTCTTTGTATCGCTTGTCATATAGATGATTGATTGGATTAGGATAAGGTGCATCTGGATTGTGTGAAACATTGAAAATTGGAAATTCATGTGGTGATGGATCGTGACCCTTTGTTTTTGAATAAAAAAACAACTATTTATGTATATGATCATTGTCAAAATTATGGCGAAGATGAATTGTCAAAGATGAGAATCATAGCTAATTTGTCTAAGGCGAGGATCTTCGAAAAAATTCAAATCATGTTCTCTAAACTATTTAGGATACTTTTCAATAGACATACGCATCTAAAATTTACAGAAGACATTTAAGTTAATTTCCTTTTATTTTTAAATGTAAACAAACTCTTATACCTCTCATGACCTAGCTCCATTCAAATTAAAAGACGTTCTAAACAATTCAAAATTATAAGTAGGCTATTTATATTTTCATTGTGTGCAATACGAGAAGAGCTCTAATTAAAAACTATACCAGCTGAGACGATCAGTTTCGAATTTCTGCACCACTCTATTGTGGAAAAACATTAAGCTATCATTGTCACTATCAAAAAAAATTCTGATTCGTAATAAAACTCACTACATAAAATGATTAATAGAATTCTTAATAATATTTATGAAAATGCGAAAAAAAACTGCGATTTAACTTGTTCGTATGATTTTACGAGCCATCATAAATATATCATACCTGATTAAGAAATTCATATTTCATTCGTAGTGCGATTCCTTCTAATCTTGCTGCTAAAATATCTGAATCAACAGGTTGACCCGAGTTTCGAAGTTCGTCAGAAATTGCTAGCGCTTCTTCACTTAATATTTGTGATAAATGAGAAACTGTTTCTGAATCCATACCAGCCAGTTTTCGGGCGACCAGGTTGACCGCTTTCGATATCATAATGCTATACTTAGTCATAGGACTTTAGTGTATTAGATATACAACAAAAACAAAAAAAAATATTAAAAAAAATGTCTATAATTTAAATGAAGAATATACGAATACTCATGCGTACTAAGGAAAACAACGAATAAAACTGATTAAATGAATCAATGTGTTACCTTTTACCTTAATAACTCAGTAATATTGCATTTTTTTTTCTCTTTCAACGATTATTGCACAAAATTTATTGCCTTCGTCCAAAAACGAATATGAAAATATTTTGTTTATTCATGCTAGACTGATGTGTGCACATTTTCACTAATAAGAAAAAAAGAAATGCATTCTTCCCGACTGCGTCATAATATTAATTAATGTATATTTGATAACGCTGGTATTTCTTTCTGTCTTTGCACGTATTCGATATGAGTGATAGAAAGTTCGAAATAGTCGTACCAGGTGATCAAAAACTGTCATTTTTGCCATTGATTTTTTTTAGGAATATATAGAAATATTCGAACTATAAAGCAAAATAAAATGTGTAACATCGAATACCAACCAACTAGTAATGACATCTGTCTATTAGTTGAATTTCTTTCTTTATGTGCTGTATGGGCGCTGTTGCTTAGAGGAAAGATAATCTGATATGATTGGATTCAGTTAATTGAACGAAAAACTTGATCATTTTTTTCATTTATGTGAGTATAGACCCATATTTTTATTTTTTTTCTTCCTTTTTGCTTATCACACAGCAACACTATCATAAAGATCATTTAAAATCATAATTAGTTTACTTTAGACATTATTTATTCTAATAATTATCTTCACAATGGATGTATTTATGATGATCCGTCGGCAAAAACTGACATTATTCGTTGATGCAAAAGAAACATCATCAGTGATGGAAGTAAAAAAAATAATCGAAGGTATTACAAAGGTACCAACAAGTAATATGCGTTTAATGGTTGATGCAACTAAACAACCCATGGATGATGATAATCAAATACTTTCTGATTGTGGATTATCCGGTACTGTAGCTAAAGCTTACTCTCCTGCACTTCTTTATTTATGCTATCGTAAGACTGGTAACGAAAATGAATGGGAACCAATCGATGTTACTGAATTGTAAGTTTTGATATTTTTACAATTAGAAAATGAAGTTTTTTTTTTTACCATAAAATCTTCGCTATACAGTGTAAATGACAATTGAAATCTCAGTCATATAATTGATTAATAGGTGATACATAAAGATGAAAAATTTTCATCAGAAATTATTTATTCGTACATGTCAATGGTCGTTAAGCTATATGACAGATATCAATTAGCTTTCGTTTTAATTACCACCTTATAAATGGAAAAAGAAAACTTTTTCTCTTTGACAGTATATCCATGGAGATTTAACATTTCTTTTTTTATCGATAAAAATATATTTAGTCTAGAAATGTTCTTTTTTCCTTCGAGCTATCATTTTTATCTAAAAATCCTAGATCCGATTTCTCTCAAGTGAATAAGAGATATTGAGATCAAATATTAACACTTATCCTTACAAAATGAAAAAAGAAATACGCTTTATTTTCTTTAATTAAACCAATTTGTCTTTTTTTTTTTATTCTAGGAGTACTCCTCCACCATTGCCAGAAGTATTTAACAAATCCGACGAGGATAAAAAAGACAATACTCAAATCGCTTCATAAACGAATGATATGCAACTATGATATATCACTTAAAAATTGACACACAGACTGAGAGTTCTTTTTTCTTTCTAAAAGTCTTTTGTCATGCGAATGATGAAAATTATTCATTTGTTTTTCTTATCTTCTAACTAACTCTCTGTTTGTGTATAAAATTTCTGGTCTCGTTGTTTGATTATTATTAAAACAGAAAAATACTTCTTGTTCTCGTTTCCCTATTGCGGGAACCGGAAAGTTTAGCACAGGAAAGTTAAGTACGAATAAACAAAACTCATACAGATACAGTGTATTGACTGACACAATAAATTTATTTACATTCTATGACAGAGTGGGGGTGTGGATGTCACTAAAAGGTAACATAAGAGTAGCATCCACGCACAATTAATTACGATCTCTGTATTCATTTAGTGGGAATAATTAGACTATGGTACAGAATTTGTACTTATTATGTTTATGTTGTTATGTTATATATAATCTAATAAACATAAATTGGTTTATGTTTATGCATTATTGTTTTAAGTTTTGTTTTTCTTTCGTGCTCATTTTATGGGTGCTTATAATTCCAGTGCTTAACTTTCCGAGCTCACCTTTCCTCGTGCTCAACTTTCATCAATCCCATATTGCAATGAACCTTAATGACGACAATATTCTGTTTCGTGCAAATTCAATCATACGCAGTTCTTTTTTTTATTATTGCTTTTCTTTTTTTTTATTGTGTTACAGAAATGCAGTATTCAAGATGGAATGACATAGAACGAAAAAGAAAATGAAAAGATATGACTAGTAAATGGGTAGGGTGATTTCGAACAACGATAAAAACAGAAACAAAAGGTTTAAAAGGAAATAAAAACATACATATCATAAATAAATAAATAAATAAAGAAGAGACAAAACGATTATTGATTAGACGATGAACTTTGACGAACTTCTTCAGGATCTTTTTCATCATCATCATCAGGACCAGATGTGGAGCTTGAATCTTGATGTCCGGATGCGCCTCCTGCTTTGACCTGTAAAAACCAAAGAAATTTACATTCAACATAATTCATAGAAAAATGTTGTATTTACTTTTTTCACTTTTTCTGCTTTTGCATTAACAAATGGCTCAATGACTACTTTACCGATGTTTTTACGCTCTACTAATTTGCCAAGAGCACTATTTACCTATGAAAAAGAAGTATTCATGTACTGATGAAAAAAAAAGAATACTTATGAACATACATCTTCAAATGTAAATACACTATCAACAACCGGTTTTATTTTTCCTTCTTTGTAAAGTAGAAATACTTTATGCATAATGTCTGATAGATAACGGCGTGTGTCATTTGAACCATATTGAAGCAATTGAATTAAATTAAAACCATGAATAGATTTGCTATCTTGAAATAAACGTAGACAACTTATTTTATCATTTTGCCACCACTAAATTATTAAAAATATAATATTAAAAAAAAATAGCACTCCATTCATACATTAGTCATTCCTTTGGTAATGCCAAACAAATTTTTAACATCCCAAGAAAGTAAACTTGATGTTCCATACATAACATATTTTCCATTAAATTTAAGTAAGTCAAGACCACGTTCGCAATCATCGCCAGCCATACAGTCAAGAACAAGATCAATACCTTCAGGTGTAATTCTAACAAAAAGAAATATATTAATAGACCAATGAAATCAATAGTGATGATTTTCTTTACTTTTTAATATCTTCTGTATAATCAATATCATGTTCAAATAAATAATGTATATGAGCACGAAGCACATCAAATTTATGTGGACTAGCTGTTGCCATAATCGTTAAATTAGGCACTAGTTTGGATAGTTGTGTTAATGCAACTAAAACAAAAAGAAAACAAATAATATCGTTAATATTATCTCTCACTATATATTGAATAATAAAATATTTAACATACCTCCGACACCGCCACCAGCAGAATGAAACAGTAATGTTTGACCTGGTTTTATATTTCCAATTTCAAATAAAAGTATATAGGCAGTAAGATATGCTATTGGAAGTACAGCAGCTTCGCGAAAAGTCATTTCTTTTGGAATTTTAAATACGAAATCTTTCTTAACGACTATTTGCTCAGCCCATGCTGAAAAGCGTGTTAATACAAGAACACGATCGCCTCTCTATAAAAGAACAAAACTCAATGATCAAAATAGCAAAAAACAAGTCAAAAAAGAAGATTGAAAAAACTTACATCGAGATGTGTAACATTCGTTCCAATATCGAGTATTTCACCACTACATTCAAAGCCGGGAATGAACGGAGGGCGTGGACTTTCTTCTAGAAGTCCATAACGCACAAGTACGTCATTAAAATTAATTCCACTAAAAGAAAAAGCAGATGTAAATTTTGGCGTATTTCCATAAATTCTTTAGTAGAACAGTTTATATTATTACCATGCTTTGACAGCAATTAATACTTCACCGTCACCAGGCGGTGGTGGTTTTGGTGCTGTTGTTACTTTGAGTTCACGTTTTCCAGTAAATGTTTGTTGTACAATAACACATTTAATATCCACTGATGTATTTGTGGTTGTCATATTATCATTACTTGTCATATTCTGTTGGGCAAAAAAAAAGAAACTATACTTTTTTTTTTGTAAATGTTACGTGTTGCTATTTTTTTATTCACATCTATTCGCGATGCAAATGAACGAACATGATTGTTGTCACCTCGGTCTCCCGTTCGCTACTTGCTTTCTCTTGTTTTTTTTCTTCTCGTTCTTGTTCTCGTTCTTACTTCAGTAGGCCTATGTGATGTTATTTTTTTCTTTTACAACAGTATAGCCTATGTGAATGAGCAATTTTATTTATCCGACGACACGATTACTAGCTTTCTTTCCAATTTTTTTTTCGGTGCTCGTTTTTTTTCTTTTCACATATATATATATATATGGAATGATGAGAAACCCACAATTATTCATTGTCAACGTCGCTATTTTTTCTTCTTGCGTCGACATACACCGAGCGCAAGGAAAAAGCAAAGATTTCAAGGCTATTTTAGATAGACGGAAATGTACTCCTATGTTTCTTTTCTCTTGATTTTTTTCCTCTCATTTCGCCGTCGTCAACGTCGACGTCGACGTTGTCTTGGTCGTTGTTGTCGTCTATAGAACTAGCGCAAACAACAGAAAGACGTTCTAAAAACGAGTCTAGCGAATCTTTATCACGAGATCCTCTTTTTTCTTGTTTTCTTCTTTTCTGCAATTTCAAAAACGGAAGAGAGCAGCAGTTGAATTTCCGTGCACATTTTCCTCTTCGTCGAGATCATTGCCTATACAAGCAAGTCAATCGTTCTATTTGTTCAATTAATTCGGAAGACAGAATGACATTCGATCATTGTCTTTGTTGGTAAAAATCAAAAACGAAAGTCATACAGAAAGAAAAAATAATAATACTCATAAAGGAAAGAAAACAATTATCACTGTTTTATTGAAAATAGAGAATTTTTTTAGTCTATTGAGATGGTTCAATTAGTATTGTTTGCTGTTGTTGGGATTGTAGTTGTTGTGGTTGTTGTTGTTGATCAGATAATAGTGCAAAATCGTTTCGTACGGCAGCATGATATTTTTCTATACGTTTATTCACTTTATCAGTTAGTTGACCAAATTTTCTACGTTGAAAATAATCAAGTTCTTGTTCACGTCGTGCTCTTGAATAATTCGATAAATATTCAAGTATTTATTCTATTAGTAAAAAATACAACTTACCGAGATTCTCGACCATATACTGAAAGTAATACATTCGATTCAGGTAATTTATCACCATAAGGAAATCCACTAAAATTACAAAAAGAAAAATTCACAAATTAAAATATATCTACAAGCATTCGAAGTTATTTTAAAACACTAGATTAACTCAGATTGTTTAAAACAAGTGTTTTAATTATTTAAAACAAAAAGCCACACGTGTTAAACCTACTTTGATGAAGACATCGTCGATTTCTTTCTCTTAAACATAGCACTATTTGATGGGGTATATTAAATGAAAAAAGGAATATTTTCTGTAGAACTTACTCTTGTTTTCCACTGCCTGCTCCATCAATATGTGCTTCAAGAAATTCAGCACGAATCATTTCTGGTGTAAGAACAAGTTTATTTTCTTCATTCATGTCGCTATTTAAAGAACAAGTAAAACTGGAGGAAAATCATTCGATTCTAATACATACTTATCTAAAAGTTGATTACGATCAGATGCAGGCATTTCATTTAAAAGTGCTGGTAGATTTGTTGGTAAAACATCTTCAGAAAATGGATCGTTCCTAATAAAAATAACAATTATTCAAAATAAGATTATTCATCAGTAAGAATTCATGCAATCATTGTGAGAAGAAAAAAAGAAAACTAATCCTCTTAAATGCTTAGTCACTTTTATCGTAAAACTATTATTTTGTGCGCAAAATATACATTTCAATAAGCAGAATCTTTGTGTTTAGTTGTAAGAATATCTTGAACTAACCATCTCGGAAGCCAAACGTTCGACATAGTAGGTACTTGAGAAAGAGCAGAGAGGCCCGTACTATTCATATTCTTCCATGTCATTGTTCCTTGAATAACATCCTTTTGAGAAAAAAGAAATATGCTTTCTTATATTACAATTATATCGATTAGGTTTTCATTAAAATCTTACTTCTCGATCAAGGTATCGATTTGTAGATGAATATCCAGGTCGTTCAAGTAAGGGTATAGGACAAATAGCATTATCTACATCAACAGCTGAATAAGGCAACGGAGTTTCATAGGTTATAACTCCTGGTGTTGGATTCTTAATAAGCAAAAGAAAGTGAAAAGAATAAATTTAAGAAAACAAAACAAAACATATGCGTTGTTTAAATCTTACAAAAACCGTGAGAGGATTATAGATTGGAGCTTTTAGAATAGACGATGGAATTTTTGGAGTAATTATTATTGGCTTTTCGGTTGTTTCTATAGCATTTGTTATTGATCTATCCACGGGTGTTTCATCAAGTTTAATTAGTTCATCTTCAGCTCCAACACGTAATGATCGAGCAAGTTTATATGTTGTATAATCAAAACGAATAAATAATGGGTCAATTATTTGATAATTAAGTAATTTATATTGTTTAGGTACTGTTAATGGCATTATAGATAAAACATAACGATTTTTAAAAGTCATTTGAGGTGCACTAACAGCACTAATAGCTTCAATAGTCTAAAAATGTATAGGAAAAAGAAAAGAAGAATTATTTTTTTGAAAATTTATTTATTACATTTGAATTATCTTGCTCATCTTCATCACTTCTCGGTAAATGAAATGTACCAATAGAACTATTTCGAATAATTAATATATGAGCATCTGTTTCTAATGTTTCACCACGTAGAGTTTTTAAATATTCAAATCCAAATAAAAAAATATCTTTGTCTAAAAATGATGCTACTCTTTATAATCAATAAAATTCTTATTCTTTTTTCTTACTAGTTTTATGCGTTTTGAAAGCAATAATAAATGCTTTGATAGCTTTGAGACGATGACCAAGTCTTTGCTTCACAATGACCTATTGTGATAATAGAGAAATTTCTATACAGTTTTCTACTGATAAATTTATTGTTTTATACTTTTCGTGCTGCTTGGGCAAAATGATCAAGAACTTGTAAACGATTTAGCCAAAGATTATTTGTATGAAGATCAAATTTAGCATCTGTACGAATTTTCTATTAAACAAATTTTATTTATTTATTTTTTATTAAATTTCAAGATTAAGACGTTTGTTTTTACCATATCAAGTGTTCGAATAGTACGTTGTTCGGAATATTTAACTGTTTCTCGAGCATATTCCTCTTCAGGTATTGGATGACCAATACGAATCTAGATTGAATGTGAGAAAGTTAGAATAAATAATAATATAAGTAACAAACTGAATATTCGTCCCAAGATATTTTTCGACTGGCAAGGATATTTTCACGTTCTGTTTGAGACAATGGATCATAACCGAGTTTTGTTTGCCAACGTATTTTATTTCTTTGTTCCTCATCTTCAATACGATTAACATCTTGTAAAAAAATTGTTTCCTATAGAGTAAATGGAACAATTTATACATATTATATTTATCAATACAGTAAAAGTTTCATGCGCATCGTTCTTTAATGAAAAATTGTCAGTATTCTTCTACAGTTTTCAGCGCTATGTTGACATAGTCAAATAAATTATCTATTTAGAGTGAGAAAAAAAAACACTTGATCCTAGATGATTCCAAAGGATTATGTGCCTAGCCTACAAAAACATTACTAATTCGAAGAACAAACGTGACTTCTTTTCGTCATTCTTTGATAATTATAGCATTCTGAAAACGGCATACATTATTTATTTGAATAGGTTTAGTAATGAAACATTGGCGAAATTTATAAATTTTATAGCACGCACAATCTATTTCTCGAGTAGAAACCATCGAAAATTTATTTATTAACCATTCTGAAATTGCTTCTTATGGATAATGGATAGAAATTGGTACGAGCGATAGGAGTTTACAAAATCAGAATTCACAGCTACACATAAGTATAAAAGATGAATGAAAGTAACATAAGCAGAAGAAAAAAAACAAAATGAAAGACCTAGTTTTAGCATTGAAACGAGCACTTTGGTAGGCGTTGAGTTTCATATCGTTGTTTCTCAGAGGGATTCATTTTTAATTCATTTGATATCTCTATAAATAAATGAATTGGTCTGTGTTCTAGCGAGGGGTGTCCAAGGACTGAGGATCAGGAATCCCTCATCAGTTCTCCTAAAGTTCGTTGCATGCTAAAGGTAAAAATATGGAATATTCACGATAATTTTTGTTCTTACACTCATTTTCACTTGCAAAATTGTGAGAATCAATAATTTCATGCAAAAATTATTTCTAAGACAGCAATATCGCGACTTTCGTGAATGGTGGAACTGTGATGGAACCGATAGTTGATTCCTATTTCCTCTAGGAATTATCACAGCGACACTGACAATTCCTCGGCACATTAGGAATTCCTATTTCTCAGTCCTTGGACACTGCTGGTTCAAGTACATTCGTCGTACTATGATTAGCATTTATTTAGTCTATTCTCGTGGCAGTCATATACTTAACTCTACTAAATGAATATCAAGGATTAAATGGATCATCTTTTCCCAACAGTTAAATTGCGATAATTGATAGGGATTTCTTACTTTTTTTTGTCGGTTAAGTCCGCTTTGATTTTCGGGAGCTAATTCATTTAATCTTCTTAAATCTTTCAAAGCGACTTTTCCTTTTTTTTGCAATAATACTTTTGATACGGCCCATGTTGAATCAAGTTTTTTCGGTATACGAAGACCATCTCGTTCAATTTCATTCTCAAAATTAGAATCTATTGTTTGTTGTTTCACGAGCTTTTGTTTTATTGATGATGTCATAGTTAACATCATTGATGGAGACTTTTTTAATACTAAATTAATATTATCTGTTGAAAATTGGCCACTCATATCCAATTGTTTTTTAGCTAATTCTCTGTTAAACAAAATAATAAATTTAGAAAACAAAATAGAATCAAATTTTACCTGGCAAGACCTGGCAGACATTTTCCAATAAATGTACAAAGAAATGGTTGTACATGAAATTGTGATACATTAATCGCAACGGACAAACGGGATGTACAAAATACTGTTGGTGCATATGTTACTGTTATATGTGTAACATTTAATTGATCGATCGTACCTTAAACAGAAGAAAATTCGTTTTTTTTTCTTTAAAGATTTTAATGTTCTATGAATACCTTCCATTGGTTCAATAGTTAAAGCTGGATCCTGACTAAGAATATCAATACGATATTGAAATTCAACAGGTGCTGCTGATTGAAATGAAAATGTTTTCGTTATCCTATTTAAAAATAGTTTAACTTAGATAGATATATTAATCACAAAACACCTACATACACTTGTCCAATGGGTGTATTGGCAAATTGATATAATTTGGGTAATATTCCATCTAATAATATAATTGGATAGGCATGTATTGGTGTAATTATATGATGATCACGTTCTGGTGTATGTATACGTATAGCATCATGATAGTATTGCCATTGTGTTGGTTTAAATAAAATTTTTACACGTATAGAAAAACCTGGTACAAGACGTTGAGGCTTTTTATATTCAATTTGAAATGCTGACGTTTGTGGTGGAATAATATCGACACGTAAAACTTCAGATGAACGATTTAATACATGTATTTCACGTGTTTGAGTTTGATTTAATTCAAAGCCATCGAAATGTATTTCCTGTGGCGTTACTTCAACTAATTTATTACGTTTTAATTTAACAAAAAGTTCTAACAGAAAAACAAAAGAAAGTAAATAATTTAAAACAAATAATTGTTGTTGAGTGTTACTTGATTGTAAGAGATGATTTGGTACTGGTATTCGATCTAGTTCTGGATTAGCAACAAGAATTTCTAATGCTTTTCGTTTCGCCTCCATAGCCTCATCGCTTATCGGTGGTGCAACTCCATATAAAGATGGAGATTGTGTTTCTATTACCAAGTCACTCATTTTTAGTGTCTTTTTTTTCAAGTTTTAATAATCAATACTATAGCATGTTTTTTTCTAAATGAACCATTTGATTTCATCAATGAGCAAGGTTTGCTAAGCAACAATTGAGGAGATTTTTGACAAGGTGACATCTACTGAGTGTTGCTCTACTTTTAAACAGATAGAATTATTTTTGAAAGAAGTTTTTTAATGTAGAGAATTTTACTAATGCAAAAAATATTTAACTTAAAAATTAGTAAGATTGTTGTCATGGAAATATGTTGAACATGAGATCGAGATGCCAATTGCGAGCGGAAGCTTTATTATTAAGTTTAATTTTCTTTTTTCCTTCTTGCTTTGTACCTTTTTTTAAATATAATTATTGTTGAAGGACTATTTATAAAGTGTATTCACATCGCATCTGTTTTCTTGTTGTATATTTGACATTTCTTTTCGGATATGAGTATTTAAGATAATTATTAAAAACAAAATTGTCATAGGTCCGTATGTTGATCGAATAAAATAATAATGGCTACGGCCGATAGCTCACTTTTATCTCACGATCACACGACTCAATCGACGTCGGATGATTCAACTTTATCGGCACAAAACCGTCGATCTTTTACTAATAATACAAATTCTTCTCATCCTCGACCTGGTCAACATTTAGATGGTTTTTATTTCATATTGAAGATTTTCTTTGCATGTCTTAAGACAAAAAGGTATTTTTGTAATTTAGATGCTGATTTATTAGCATGGAAACGGCAATATGCAAACATTGGCTTAAGAGAAAAAAATACGATATCAAACTCAGCTGATGATTTATCGCAACTTGACGACCGTCTTTCATATCAGTTTGAAGTGTTTGGACAAGATTATAATGACATGGAAGATGGTAAAAACCGTTTCCTTTCCTTTTCTTTTTAATGAAAACAATATTTTGTTATATGTCAAAATAGATGAAATACATTTCGATAATGGAAATAATTATGATTATGAAGCTGATATTCACGAAAGACTTAAAAAGGCTAATGAAGAATTTGAACATGATGTAACACCAGCTGAATTGAAACATCGACAGCGTGTTTCATTCGATGCTATGGTCAAAGCAGTTGATATTGTTCAGGATCCACAAGAACATGTCAGTGAAGATACTTTAATTAAGCCATCTGTTTCACCTGTTGACGAAGAGCCAGCCGCCCGTATAACTACTTCACAAAATGACGATAGTCCAGTCGCATACACTGTACCATTGAATGATACACAGCCGAAAGAAGGTCCAACATTATTACAACAACTTAAAGCCATGCAATTTCATGGTGTTCCACCGACTGGTGATCGATGGTCATCGGTAAATTCAAATAAAACAAATGGCTCATCACCGCATCAAGGTATTGCTATTTTTAGAAAAAGAATTAAACCAAAAAAAGTTTTTTTTCTACTACTAATCTGATAAGTTCATACAACTCGACTTACTTTTATTTAAGATTTGCTATTTCTAATCTGACTCGTTCTCATCAAAAATTGATTAGCGTACAAACAAATATCTTATAAACTTTATTTTGAGTAGCATTATTTTTGTAAGCTTCTAAGTCAATATCAATGGTTCTATATCCTTATCGGTACGCATGATTATCTTGATGAAAGAAGAAAGAAAATTTTTTTTTCCTATTTATTCATTGGCTTAAAGAAATCTCATGTTTTGAAAGAAAAAAAGGAGTTAAGCTATTGAGAGAACAATCATGAGGTGATGAAATGTGTGTGGCTCTCGATGAAAGAAAATTTCATTTTTTCTTTTCTACATTCAAATGCATCGATGGATGAAACCTGCAAGATCGAAATTTTGTCGCCCAATATGTTTTCTTTGAAAAGTTTGTTCATACCAATTTTTTTACTATTATTATATTTTTTATGAGAGAAAATATTCTAGAAAAGTTTTTCTCGTCTCCTATTATAAGTAATTATTTAAATTTCCTTATAAACTATAATAGAAGACAGAGTCAATAGTTAAACATAATATAGTGTTGAACATCTTAAATCTTATCAACTCAGCTAGAACGAAAAGTCGTCATTCGAGCAAGTGTCGAATTTTGATTTAATTAAACTCTACACTACACTACTCTTTAGTCGGTATGCTAAAACTGAAAAGTTAGATATATAATATGCAAAAATTTTATTTACTACGAAATGGAAAAAATTTATTCGAAAATAAGTGGAGCCTTAAGGGTGAGTCGAGATTCACATCTTTCTCGTCTATTATGATTTTTGTTGACTTCTCAATAAGAAAAGAAAACGTTTTTTGGCATTTTCGATTGCCATGGCAGAATTCAGATGAAAAGTAAATATGATATTTCGGAATCGGCATCAAAATTAAATTGAATCAAATACATTTTGGAGCAATCTTTCTCCTATATAAACTACCATAAGAATTTATAGAGAAAAAATGACTTCAAAATTTTTATTGTATGACGTCTAATTTTTCTAGCTAACTCATTCTTGTCTAGAAAACTGCGTCATCATAAAGAAAGCTGTCGTAAAAGCTTGTTTTTTTACCTATTGAAAAGTCATCATCAATCAGAAGAGATAAGTGAATAACGATGAACACCAAGCGCAGAAATTATTTTTCAAAAAGATTTTTTTCCATTTCTTAAAATACGCAAAATTCCTATTCACATCATATATGATATTTGATTTTAAATATCAATAATTAGGAATTATTTGAACGACGATTTTTCATGCAATTTAGTCTTATAAATTTGAGGTACTCAATACTTTATTATGATTACATACCTTATTATGTTAATAACTCATGGTGATGAAAACGAGCAAAACGTTCTTCCGCTATTTTTCTCATGAGAAAATGTTAAAGATAAAAATTTGACAGCAACTAACTATCGAAAGAAAGAGCATTGAACGTTAAAGTGTCGTAATTGCTAGTTGCATACATTGCTACATTGAATAAATGCAAACAAAATTGAAACATTTTTTAATTTAGCGTCTCGTAGATTCTCACAATAGGTGATGTTCGCGGAGCGTCTCCATTTAGCTTTGACAGTGAATGCACATTTTAATTTTTGTCATAAGAAATGAAAGACAAAAATATCGAGCACTTAATGCTTTACTAACAATTTTACTCGATAATAGTTTACAATAAAATTCAAAATAGTAACTGTAATAGCTCTCAATATAGATTCTAAAGTAGCTTAAATATGGAGATTCAAATTCGATGAACTATTTACGTAAAAAACACTACTATTTAGATAGCAATAGTTTTAATTAATTGTAAGAAATCACGGATTAATAATTAATAGAATTTTTTTTTCATTTGTCATATGAAACTATAAAGTTTCAAAGAGAGTTTATAACTAAATAAAACTATTTTTACTTTTTTTAAAAATAATTCGTTTTTACTAATATAATAAACATATTATTAGACTGCACTACTAGCCTAAAATATCATGTTATTATGTTTGTACTGCGTGGCATATTTTCAAAATTTAGATTTATTATATTTGACAGAGCCAATTTCATACGTTTGAAGGATACTTAACTATCAATGAAATATGGCCTCCAATCGCTAAAATGATTGACGTGTTCATGGCCGATTTCATTCATATCTTAGTTTTTTTCTTTTAGATAAGATACATTATCAATATGAAATCACTATCGTACGTTACATCGAAGAGAGTTATGTCTCTTTCGAAAGTGTGACATTAGCTTGATGAATTAACAATACAAGCGCTAGTTTTTAAGCTAAGCCATTGAGTACAAACATAATAACATTATAGCACAGTAAATTAGTAGAATGTCAGAATATATTTTCTACCAGACGAAAAATGATCTCTTTTGATACAATTAACATGCAGTTTGCTTTAGTTTTCAATAATTGTTAAAAAAGTTTAAATTAAATCATGCAAGCGAAAACCAAACTTTACTGTCATTATTCATTGGATATCTATTTAAAATTTCCAAGAGTTTGTCTATTGCGTTTTGCATCGAATGACAAGTCAAAAATTTTTGTACAATTATTGAATAAGATAAAATGAATAATATATTGTCTTCGACTAGTGTCTGTTTCATAGAATGAACTGAAATACAAAAAATAAAAGCAAAAATAATTGAGCTCCGAACAATATTTATATGTTGTAAATTCTGCAACTCATGGAGAGGACTATTGCAATTATTATTTCATATGTTTCATGAGCTATATTCTAGTAAAATTATTCATGAAAAAAGTAAAAAGAACACTAATTTTCCTTCTTTAAAAACGTTTTCAATTAGCGGTTTTCTATCAAGTTATTGTAGAGATGGAAGAGAAAAATTTTATTTTTTCTATCTCTAAGGTTCGCCGCCGCTTAAATCTGATTCAAACAGTAACACTGATACTCCTGATATGGCATCACAATCAGCAGCTTCGTCGAAAAAATCAATGCTTGTTTCTATTAATGGTGGATTTGAGCTACAAAATGAAGAAGATTATGTAGCTAAAGGTTCGACAGACAGACGCAGAGCTAGATTTGCTGGTGCTGCTGATGATGATGACGATGATAAGGATGAGGATAATGATAAAAAAGCTTCAACACAATATAGCAACGTTAGATATTTCCCAAAACCACCATCAGAAGCGAAGCCACCGGCAGATCCATCTAAACCTCAACCACCTACTCGTCCATATCCAGTAATGTCTCGACCACAATCGTCAGATAGTGGTAAACGACCTACCAATTCAGCTAGTACATTATCAAGATCACTATCTGATAATAAAAATCAATCGAGCAACGATCGTGAACAAAGACCCAAAAGGTATTGAAAATAAAGCTCTTTGCATAACTCTGTATCATTGATTCATTTTTTTTTGTAGTGCGGTCGTTCCAAAATATTTATATTCATCGATTAATAAGTATAAGTTTCTATAGTATTGCAGTCGCCTTAAGTTTTGTTTTTATAAAAATATAGTCCACCGTCGGGTGTCAACTTTGAAGAACTTTGTCAAAAAGCAGCTGAAAAGAAACGGGCAGAGATGAAGGAAGAACGTCGCAAGAAGAAAGAAGTAAGATAAAAAAGAGCAATGATTTAGTAAATCTTATTTATTGAATCTTCAAAAATAAACTAAGAATTCGGTAAAGTATGAAAATCGTAGATTTCACCTGTCATGCATAAAATCGTATGAATTTTCTAGAAAACTTATACGACACAAAGATTTCACAAAACAAAAGTAATGATATAGATCTTTCAATCTCGAACAAATAATAATTTAGCATACTAAATGATCATGATAACCGATGAGAATAGTATTGCGAATAGAATAAAAAACAAATGCTGACAGCTATTTCTTTTTTTTTTGTTATAACAGATTGTTAATACTCGCAACTGCTTTTATGATATTAAAACAGAAATTGTAGACTTTAAAATTCGTCTTTCACTTGAATAATAATCTTGAATTTGTGATCTACAAATTTTTACGAAGTAATATTTAAATTATAGGAAGAAGAAAAACGAGTAGCATTAGACGCCAAAGCAAAAGCAAAATATGAACAATGGATACACGACAAAGATAATGAACGTAAAAGACTTAATGAAGAAAAACGTATGGAAAATGACGAACGTGAAGTAAAAACGATTGATTTTCCATCACAAAAAACCAAAAAAGTATTATTTATCTTTCGTATAATTTCCATTAAAGGCTCTTCGAATAAAGCATGAGAAAGAATTGGAAGATTTACGAAAGAAAAAATTTGATGAATGGAGTGAACGTAAAAAGCGAGAAGTCATGATTGTAAATGAATTCAGAAAATTACAAGCTGAAGAAGAAGCAGTTGAAACCAATGGATCATCTTCATCGATTCATCATCCTAATCAACGACCAGGTCATCGAGCGTTTAAACGGTAAATTAATTCCGTTTAATATTCAATAATGAATTTATGTTTTTTTTCTGTCTCTCTCTCTCTCTGCTATTTGTTATTTATAGTTGGCTTCGTCGAAAGGATGAACAATCCAAAGAAGAAAAAAGACAATTACGTCTTGAAACTCGACGTCTACGTCGTATGCAACGTCGTTCAATAAAACGATATCAACTTCAACAAGACCTTCAATTAGCAAAATCATTCGGATATTCATGATTCTTTATGTACTCTTTCTATTTCGTTCAAAGAAAAAAATAATTAAATTCATCTGTCTCTTTTTTTTGCTTGAATCTCTTTGTATACATAGGAAATGAGGAATGTTTTATTATTCTCTTCTATTTTTCTTGACATTCTAGGACGCAGACAACGTTGTTGTCATCAGTAATAAACACACGCACGTACATCAATGAAAAAAACGAAAAAAACCCACAAACCGCCGACTGATTCATGTACATTGATAAATAAATACATCGAGCGGAACGTTAGAAAAAGGAAGCGATAAAAAATTAGACGAAGTTCTATTATGACGATTTTTTTGTTGCCAGCTACCTATTTTTGCTTGTTTGCCGATAAAATGAGAGACAAAAAACGGAAGAAAAATCGTTAAATATATTTCAAAAGTGCTCTGAGCAAACAATTATTTGAAAAACAACCTTCGTTCTTTGGTTTGTTCAATTCACTATTTTCCCTCGTTATAGAATGTTGCTGTCGATTGAAAACTGTAGCATACCTGAAAATCTTACATAATAAAAAGAAAAAGAAGTTTTGCATATCAAGGTAACCTTCGAAATAAGCACCTAGTGATCATGTGTCAAGATACACGGTATAATCAAAAGCCGAACATAGCTATTTAACGAATAAATATTTCATTATATTGTTATTATCGTGACTTTGAATTGGATGAAAGTCATGAAAAAATATGATAATTTCGCGAATTTCACCATATAATTTTTTCGTTTTTTTTTCATTACTGATTTTTTTTGCATTAAGTTGTAAATAACCGTGTCGAAAAATTCAAATACAATTACAAAAATAGTTTACAATAGAGCCAGAATGAGACATAGGTAAGATACAAAATTGTTTTCATTCCCACCGATATCTAATGATTATTTAAATGTCTAATTATAACATTGAAAACCTTGAAATATGTGATAGTCAACTTCCAACACTAATTTTCTAAACCAAAACAATAACACTACAATGATTATTTATTCAAAATATGTTTAAAATTTGCCGTTTTATTGCTTTCTTACTATCTATGTAATAGCTAAATAGTATACCTGCCGTTGAAGGTCGATCTAGTTTACGTATTTAAAATGTATTTTGTATCATTTTTATTTTTATGACAGACGTAATTAGCATCTTGATCATCACCATCAATAGTGTAATTAATGTTTTACTACGCCACTTAACTACAGATACGAGACGAGAAAACAAAAACCATCGTGTTTGGACTAAGACTCAAGGCCTTTTTTTTGTTCTTGACTATTTTTGGTTTTTTTTTCGAATTGAAATACTTGTACACATATATATATATATATATATATATATGTGAGAGAAAATGCAAGTATGCCCATTGTATATCTATTTTTACTTGCTGGTTATTCCCTAGAATGATTTAGAGTATCATTTGTAATAAGAAAGTACTTTTACATTGATTGATTCTTTTGTATTATGCACTACAAGAAAAATAAAACATTCTTACGATTTGTATCTTCTGTTATTTATTTGTTTGTTAATTGCTAAGTGTATTATTTAGTAAACTATGAAACTATTTTTACTCCAAGCCCTCTAAAATCATGAATAATATGGGCCATATATTATTAAATTTATCTTTTATTTGTTTTTTGATCTTCATTTATATTTGCATGTTTTGCAAACAGTAAGCCATGCACGAAGAATACCAAGGCTGTTCTTTTTTCTTTTGTACATTGTATTTTTGTCAGTATTTTTTGTTAATAATGCTAATTTTCATCATTCATAATATCAACAAAATAACCATCGCTTTCTATAACTACACACACACACACACAACGCATAATCGTCATTTTTAGATACAAATCATAATCAATTTCTACGATGAATATGTTTCCATACACACCATCGCAGGTACGATAAGAAATATCAAACAAGAAAAGTATTTGCTTTTCTTTCAAATTCTCTTATAATTTACAGCTATATACGATGCATCCACATCAACAACAACAGCAGCAACAGCAACAACAGCAAGCAATGTATGCTCAACAACAACAACAGCAACAGCAACAAGCTAATATGTTGTACTACCAGTATAATCAGTTACATTCAATGCAAGCTACTTATTCAAATCCTGCTCTTACCTCTCCCAGATATATGCAACAGACAATAGAGCAGCAACAACAACCAGCATATCGACCTGATCAATTAGTGCCACTATCTACACCACAAGGAATAGCTCCTGTTCAACAAAAACAGCAGCAGCAAATTCAGCGTGCTAGTCCGATTACAATAAAAGCAATGGATTCGCCAGATGTTTGGATGAATAACAGTGGATTACAAAATCTTGATATTTTTCGACCTATTATCCATGCAATGTCCAATACGAAACTTGATACTGTTTCTTATATTACTATCAACAATGCTATTGGAAGTACTCCGTCAACACCGTCCATGGCCATGTCGTACGAATCACCTAAGTTAAATCGTCACCGTCATTCAAAACGGCAACCATCAATAGATAGTCGTCGTATTCGCCGACGTCTTCATAGTGCGTCGAGCTGCTATGAATCTGATTCAATGGACGTCTATAGTCAAGAGGAAAATGAATCAGAGGTAAAATGAATAAGAGTTTAAAGCAGTATTTAATGCGCTTTTTTTATAAATGAAGAAACAATTCCAATATAAATATAGATTCAATAGCTATTTTTTGTGTGTATGTCTCTCAAATCGACCTTCTAATTGAAGTTTTTTATTTCATCGAAATGTAGAGTTAATAATCGATGTTGCTCTCGATGATCATCGATAAAATTATCGATAAATATAAACGAAATGTTTTTTTATTAATTATCAGTGGCATTCAGCAAATCCAAAGGCTTCGGCAACAATATCACCAGTATCAAAAAAACGATCACATTCAACAGGTCAATCAGATTTGTCGAAGCCTAATCATAGCCTAAACGATATTCATCGATCATCATTGAATCATCATGGATTTATTCCGATTCGTAGTCCAGCTGCAGAATCACATACAAATCGTAATTCCTCAACGAAAAATTATAATCGTACTGTTTCTCGACCTAAAATTATTCATTATATTGAAAAGAATATTATCGGTAAAGATTATATTTTTCAAGGACCATGGGGTTTCAGACGAAGTACGTGATTCAATATTGATCTTTCTATTTCTGATTGATATTTTTTGTTTTCATTTCGCTTGAAGTGATCTATTGTGATTATACAGCATCAGGTCGACCAGTACAATTTATTGAACATTTTATCAAAACCTATGTACTTCCTTTGTAAGTAATTTGAATATTTTTTTGTAGCGAACTTAAATTTAAAAAAAAACTTTATCTCTCTATAGATATGGTAATACGCACAGTGAAACAAGCTTATGCGCACAGCAAACAACAAAATTTCGTGAAGAAGCCCGCCATATTATTAAAACATCAGTTAATGCTAACGAAAATGATGTTTTACTATTTGCCGGTACTGGCTCAACTGGTGCTATCCATTTGCTTGTTGATACTTTTGAACTCAATGATGAAGTCAAGAGAAAGAATACAGTTGTTTTTATTAGTGCTTTTGAACATCATAGCAATATTTTACCATGGCAAGAAAAAGGTGTTGAAGTAAGATTAAAAAAAATTTTGATTTGATATTTGTTTTAAAATTAACTCATTGTCTTTAACAGATGATTCGAATACCAACAACACAACATGGCATACTTAATAAATCGCTACTCAAAGAATATTTACAACAGTTTGCTAAATTAAAGAAACGCATCATTTGCTCGTTAAATGCTGCTAGTAATATTAGTGGTATTTTAACTGATGTTGATTCTATATCAACACTTGTTCATTCGTATGGTGGTCTCATTTTTTGGGACTATGCTACAGCTGCTCCATATATTAAAATTGATATGAATCCATCAGCTACTGCCTATAAAGATGCTGTTTTTATTTCGACACATAAATTTGTTGGTGGGCCAGGTACGCCAGGTAAGTGAATAAAAACAATCATTAAATTTTATTTCATATATTAGAATACTTGTTTTTTCTTCAGGTATATTAATTGCTAAGAAGAATCTATTTAGTCTAAAGCCTCCTAAAGCATGCGGTGGTGGAACAGTTAATTTCGTCACTCGTACATGTCGCGAATACAATTTCGATATTGAAACTCGCGAAGAAGGTGGTACACCAGATATCATTGGTTGTATTCGAGCGGGTCTTGTTTTTCAATTGAAAGATTCGATAGATTCGAATTATATGCAAGCTCGTGAAGAAGAATTAGTTAAACGATTTTATCGACATTTTAAAAAAACAAAAACATTAATTCTTCTTGGCTCTCAAACAGTCGCACGCTTACCAATTTTTTCTTTTCTTATCTATGTACCTAGTGTATGCAAATATTTACATCATAATTTTGTTTGCCTTCTGCTAAATGATTTATTTGGTATACAAGTTCGATCAGGCTGTGCCTGCGCTGGACCATATGCACTTGATTTACTAAATGTTGATGATGTAAAAACAGATATTTATTGTTTGTTTATGACCGAAAATGCTGAGTGAGTTCTGTGCTTTTGTTTCATGGTAATAGTCAAAAGAAAAAATTATAATTTTCTTTTATTTGTAGAGCACGAGGAGACGATCAAATTGTTCGCACAATGATGATGAAGTAAATGTTCTACTATTGATTTCTTTTGATTTAGTATATTTGTAATGTCGAACTTTGTTTTCTTCAGGCCGGGCTTTACTCGTTTTAATTTATCCTATTTTATTAATGATGATGAAATCGAATACGTTCTTAATGCTATTCAATTCATTGCAATTGAAGGATGGAAATTCCTCCCATTAGTAAGTGATGAAAAACTTATATTCGTCGATATTTTTTTGACATCTTATTTTTTCTTTAGTATACTTATAATCCAGTTACTGCTGGTTGGACACATCGCAGTGATTTTCAAGTATCTCACTCAAGCCTAGATGATATAACTTATAAATCGGGTAAAATGCAAAATTATGGTGTTAAAAAAGATTTAAAACCGCCTAGTACACAAAACGATCTACGAGTAAAAGCAAAAATCTATAATTTAAAAAGTGTAATAAATATTTTTGTTTAACTTTTTGAAGGATCCATTCCATGAAGCAAAATTATTGGCCGTTGATGCTGTACGTCATGCACTTGATACTATTGATTATGGATTTGATCCACCACTCAATGTTCCTGATAAATATAAACATATGGTTTGGTTTGCATTACCAGCTGATATTGCTTCCGTGATGATTAAACAGAAGGAAAATTCTCGAAAAACACTTTGTAACATTGATTCAATTCCTTTCATACCTACAGAAGCAAAGGTTATTCTTTAATTTTCTCGGTATTTTTAATCTAATGTTTCTTTTTTGTTTTTTGTAGGAAAGACTTCTGAACTCATTGAAAGGAAGAGAATCTATTAATGGCAGTGATTATCGAAAGAAACTTAGTTCAAGCCGTAGTTCATCATCATATCGTACACGATAAACGAGGAAGAAATAAAGTTATACAAAAAATAATAATAAACTTTACCTTCCGTTTTTTTTTCTCTTTTTTTTCATTATTAAATCGTTGGTTTTATTTTTGTAATACATCGATACATGTTTTGCTATCAAGATTTTTAGTATGTAAATATATATACATATACATCTCCTTAATTAATAAATTCCAAAAGAAAAAACTTTTATTGATTTTTTTCAACTACAACTAAACATCCGATTTAAGCGATCGATGCATCAAGGCTTTTTCTTTATTTTCGATTTCTAAATTTTCGTTTTGAATATATCCGGACACAGAGAAGAAATGAAAACATTCTTTGTTAAATAATAAAACATGTAAATACGTAGGAGGAAGAACAGGGTTCTTGCATTAAGTTATGACATTTGTTTTTTTTATTTTTTTGAAACAAGGACGAGTTTATCTATATACATACTACTGTATATTTGCAATAGAAAAACAAAAAAAACGAAAACTTTAATTCATCACTATAATAATCATCAAATCCCTACTTACAATATATTATTAACGAGAGGTTTTATTTTTTTGAATGATTATTGCCCTATAGTAATGTAAAACTGATTGTTATTTGAATTATATTGATAATGTTATTTCGAATCGTTTTTATTGTATCGCATTTAATGACAATTTTTGCTGTACAACTTAATTTCTATACATCTGTTGGTCAAGTTCGACAAGAAATTTCAATTAAAGATGGCTATGTTCAAATTCATTTTACTGATCAAGAATATAATGCTATTATACCGTGAGTTCGGATATATACGTATATATATATATATATATTGTTTTCGATCCACTTTTTAATTATACTTTTTATTTCAATAGAGGTACGATCGATTTTCCAGGTCAACAGATAATTGAGCAAGATTTATACAATTCCAATGAAGAACTACGTAATACTGATATTTTTATTCGATTTGATAAATGTGAAAATGATCACACATTAAAAGCAAAATTAATTGACCCTTATTCATTTTTAATTAAATATGATTCGTTACGATATGCTTATGCATCACGAGATCAGATTGAATTTGATAAAGATCCATTATTGGATGGAATGATTCTATCTGTTCGATTAGATAATGAATCTATAGAAACAACTAATATGACTTATTTAACTCGTGGTCTTTGGTGGACACCGAGATATGAAGTTATGGTTATTGATGAGCGATGTAAAGTTTTCTTTTTTCAATGTTTTAATTGATCAATCTTTTGTATTGTTCTAGCTGCTACTCTTCGAGCTCTCGCTGATCTTAATAATGAACATCAGCGTCTATACGATACTACACGAAGTCAATTGGTTACCGGTAGTATTCCATTAGTTTCAAATTCGGTACGAGCACCAGCTCCAATGGAAGCACAACGTTTTGAACAAATGGCAGGTTCTATGAGTAATGCATCTCCGTCTATATCGTCGATACCTGATTCAACCAATTTTGGTAGCTATTCATATAACATCACGCATAAATTTTCTCTTTTACCAAAATCTATTAAAACATTTCCGTTTCTATCTGCTATGATATCATTTAATTATACACTTGAAACATCGATGTATCTATCGATTGGTGCTGCTTCTGGTTTATTTCAACGTATATTTATTATAAAGCCATCGGAATTTTTACCAGCTGGCACAATAACATTTTATTTAGCAACAACAGGAATAACTTTAGGTCAAGGTCGTTTACCAGATACACCAAAACAGAGCGAACAAAAAATAAGTATAGGAAATGATCCTGATGTTAGATTTAATATCATTAGTGTTATAACAGCTATTCACCAAACACCAGTGTATGGACAAGATCTTGATGTAAATGTAACAGTTTCAAATCGAAAAGATGAACAAATAGTATCAGTTAAATTAACTATCAATAGTGGATTTCGTAATACAACATTGTTTATAAAAAATCTATCATCATCGAATATAAGAATAAATCAATCTTCAAATGATAAGTCCATATTAATTATTCAAGCTACAATTCAACCGAACCAAAATGAACGATGCAATTTCTCTCTTAAACAATTGAGCTAAATTTTTTGTTTACGAATAAATAAATTCTATTCGTTCTGATTAAGTTAACACACTGATTGGATTTGAAAAAAGATATTCAAACAATTTTCTATCATCAAAGTTTTTCATCGTAATTTTCAATTGAGTAAACACTGTGATTAAAGTCATATTTGTGTTTTTTGTTTCTCAGAATCAGAAATTACTGATTGTTGTATGAAATAAGAGAAATTTACACTCATATTCATTAGCATGTATTGTATGACAGTCTTTGAATATTTACAGATTTTTAATTAATCCTACACATTTGTAATAAAAAAAACATTATGCACTAGTCTAGTATATGCATATATACGGACAATAATATTGGCAACTTTCATTATGAATGTTTTTCAGAAAACGTTGGCTTACGAAAGTCATACACGGGTGCAAACATAGTCTCGTTTCTTCTTAGCAGACAAGCCCCATCTATGATAGGGTCAATCATTATGCAGGCTTGATATTCAGTAAAGAAATTTGTTCAAGTTTCAACTATGAGCTTGTCCTTTTCTTCACGTATTTTACATTGTAGATCACAAAAGATTGACATATAACGATGTTGCTTCTGTTAGTCTAAAACATTTAGCTCTTGAAATCACTATATCTTAAACTAATTTGTTTTTTGAAAGTATCGATGACTCTAATTTAGTAGATCTCGAGTCTGTCAATTGATCTTTAGTTGTTAAAAATGGACCACTTGAACGTGTTTTTAATTAAAAACTTTTCTTCGTTTTACGTAGGTTGAATTAGAAATGAGATTCTTGGCTTTTCTTGCCAGTCTTAATGCTACGGTTCATCGTGGAGTGTATATGCTACCAGAAATGTAACAGTGTACACAGTATCATTTAATTTTGTATTCTAAACTATCGCGTATGAGTAACATCGAATAGTACATAAATATAAGTTTGTAGAAGCTAGCCTATCAACATGAAATTAATGGTTGCATTCGTATTTGCATTGTGTTACTTTCGAATATAAATCAGTAGATAAAAGAAACAACCCTCAAGAATATAGGGTTTCTCATTCTCCATTTTGACAACGACTAATTACTCATAGCTATTATATTTTTGCGTTTCAATGGACGATTAATTCGTCTCAGCGACAAAAAAGCATAATAAATGCGTGTGCCTATATTTTTTGTACATAGACCATACTTTGTTACACAAAAGAAGGTACCGATTTATATCTTTTTGTCAGGGCTTTTTATTTGCCGTTTATTTAAACAGTAGGCCTAATCTATTTTCACTAATAATAATGAGTCCCGATTTGTTTCCACATGGTCAAAGCTATTAATCTTGCTTCTTAACTTATATGGAACAAGCAAATAAATTATCGGTAGATACAACGATGTAGTATCCTACTTACATAGTATGATAAATATCGTTTCTGTTTCGTTTTGTTAGTAGTGAAAAAATGCGACGTTGCTTTTCAAAATATGAATAAACCAATGAAACACATTATCTAACAAGAATTCATTGTGAGATGAAAGAATGACACTATTTTGTTGTTTTCAATAGTCAAACGACAAACAAAAAATGTTAGTAAATAGCAACATGAGACAAGGTTTTTTCTACGCTTAATCTATCACGTGATTGACTTTTATTTAGCAGGGTTTCGTCGATTTGTTGTGTAATACATATTACGAATTCAGTTGCTTGAAAAGACATTGAATCATCAAATTCGATGCAGATTTGAAATATACATCGGTTGAAAATAACTAGAACAGTTGCTAAACAGAATATCAACAAGAAATCCTTGAGTTCACTGCTAACTTTCCTTATATCAATTCTATATTTAGTCTTTTTTTTTAAGTCAAAAGTAAATAAATGAAATAAACTATTAAAAATATCATATTTACCATGCGATTGACATTTCTTTTCTTGGCAATCTAAAAAAAAAATACAGCTGTATTTGCACTTTTTGGACATCACCGTAAACAAAAACAAACACAAACCATGAATGATTAAATCATTTCACATATTAAAATTCATCATTGTCTACAAATATTAAGAAGAATTCTGTATGTTCGCTTTATTTGAATTTAAGACCATAAAATTAACAGTTCAATGAGAGAAACAATAGTTAAAACAGATGTAGAGAGGTAAATAGTAAATGATGTCAAAAAATGTGATAGATTAATCAAATGATTAACTTCACTTCACTATGATAAGTCCAGTACAAATATTGCAATTGTCGATGTGACCATTTCTTTTGCCACTACTCTCGATCGTTTACTAAAGTAAGAACCAATTATGTCATATATGAACCAACAAAACGAATTCGTGTACTACTGATGTTTGCTTTCTTTATATTATTATTATTGTTGTTGTTGTTGTGACATCGTGACATTTATGAACAAGTTACACTATTTTAATGAGAATCATACTCATGAAAGTCACTCACACAGATTGATTCTTTTTTTCAATAAAGGATTTTTTATTTTTAATCTTTATCAATCAATCAATAGCATTTTTGGTTGGACCTGGTTATGATAGTTCAAAATCATAGAATTATTCTAAAATGTCTTGTGACTTTCAGCACAATAGAAAATAGATATTTTTCAGTATATATATATATATCTCATGAATCAACAATTTATGACTAAAAGGATGAAAGTTTCTGGAATCATTTTATGCCAAGATTATAATGCTTGGCATAATATTAAAAGCTTTCTGTGAAATCAAGTCTATTTGTTTTAATAAACATTCCTGTAGAGAAAACAAAAACGCAGAATTATGTGCACATTGGTTAACAATTAAAGATAGATAATATTTTCTTTTAATTCAAAATAGTCATAAATAATTTACAAAATAACAAAAAATTTTCTTTTACAGACAATAAGTAACTAACGTGTTAACTTGAACAGAAGTCGTTCTACCAGAGTACTCATCTGTTATGATGGTTTAATCTATGACGTATCTCATAAATTGTGTTTTATGACGAATATTAAAGAAACTAATAGTATATCAGAAGAAAAAAATAACCTTATATGAAATGAGTGCTGCCCTTTTTCTCAGTTATCCGTCATGAGTAGACATCTGTCGAGCATAACATATATAGGGTAATGCATAATAATTTTAAAAAAATGAAGGTTGATGATTCACTAGATAAGCGTTTCCTCGGTTTTTTTTTCTTGAGATTTTGTCCTTCTGAGTCTTTCCTGTTAATCAAAAGAATTTCCAAACTGAAAGAGAAAATCGCGTTAATAATACTACTTGTTTTTTCAATCCTGTCATTCGCACATAAATATATTTTTTATCAATATTTGTTTGTTAATTTTTATCTGTTCTCTTTTCATTGCTAGTGAAATATATAACATTAAAGGTAAGCTAACAGTTTATTTTATCGAAAAATAAAAGACTCAAAAGAATATAGCCTGCAATGTCAATAAATAATACGGAGTTATCAACAACATCATTTTTTCAATCAGATGTTTGGCTATTTACTATTTATATTGTTGGTACATTTGAATTCATTTTTTGGTTATGTAATGGTTTTTTAATTATCATTGAATTGTATGATTTTCCTTCTATTGATAAATATCGAATTCAAAAACACAAGAAAAAATTACGCTTTCAACCTGATGTGACACAATTAATGATAAAACAAACGATTCGTCATCAAATATCAACTGTTTTTCTTGCACCCGTACTTTATTATCTTTTGAATTATTTTGGTCATCTTGAGATGCAAGGACCTCGACCAGCATGGTCAACCATCGTATATCAGCTTGTCCTATTTATTCTTTCGGAAGATGCTATTTTCTTTTGGACACATTATCTATTTCATATTCCATGGCTATATAAAACTATACACAAAAAACATCACATTTTTAAACAGCCAACAGGAGTAGTTTCTGTTTTAAGTGATCCTATAGAAGGTTTACAAAATCAACTAGCTGTTTGGTTTATGCCTGTTTTGCTAAAGGAAAAGCATATATTTACTGTATGTATTTGGATTGTTATACGAGTCTATCAAACAGTAAATGCACATTCAGGTTATAATTTACCCTATGTTAGTACACAATATTGGGTACCATGGATAATGTCTGGTACTTTAGCACATGATTTTCATCATCAACACGGCAAATGGAATTATGGATCATTCTTTAACATTTGGGATCGAATAATGGATACACATCGATTGTCGATTGCTACTACTACTGAGAAAGAAGTTGATTAATAAGACAAAAAGTTTATCAAATAACCTTCCATTGTCTATTGAAGACAGATGAAGAAATGAAGAAGAAGAAGGAAAAAATTCTACTAGTGTATGTTCAACGATTTGAGAATGTTTGATTGATGAGAAATTGAATGCACACATAAATAAAAGCTTGTATTAACATTTAATCATTAATCGTATTAAAAATACATGCTCTTGTTTCTCATTGGAATTCTTGTCTATGTGTAACATAGTTAAGACGCAAAATGTCTTCTCAAGCACATATATACTCATAAAAGAAGAGGTATATGTAATAATGCTAGTATTTACTCGATTCTTATCGCTTTTTTTTGTTGTTATTATTGTTGCTGTTACGCCGTCTCAGTCGCAACGAAAAATAACGAGGGAAGAATTTTCGTATTCTTTTGCGCTCCTTCCTTTTTTCTCTCCTTGCTTTATTCTTACTAGGCTTCAAACACGGGTAGCTCGTACAAAAATCATGTTTTTATTATGGCGAAAATAGTTTTTTCTTGGGGGTAAGTTAAACGAAAAATCATATAAAAACGACGCAATTGTACTCTCATTTTTCAACATAATCGTAGAATGTTTTCAATTCGGCATGATTTCTATCATATAAATCAAAATGACGAGGGTTGTTGCTTGACTTAGTGTTCCTACGAGGGTTTGACTTCGATGATTCATTTCGTTCGGAAAAAAAAGAAATATGTTGATGATCGACAAATAATTTTCATGCATGACTTTATTCATGTTTATTTTTTAGATACATTTAATTATACATATATATATCCTCATTTTAAAATCTTCTTTCTACTTGTATTCTTTATCGAAAAATGGCATCATTTACAAACTATCGAAGCTCCAATACGAATCGATCACTCGATGATCCATCGAAAGATCTTAGATCTAATATTCGTGAAAGTCGTTTGATTCAACCCGAACAATGGCAATCACCTGAAATTCAAGACAAATTTGATAAGGTAAAAATATTATATTTCGAACAAAAATCAAAAGAATTTTCTTCAACTATTTTTACTTCAGGGTTCAATCGATTTCGCTGAAGTACATTCATTGCTTCAACAACTCGGTATTAAAGTTCAAAAATTTGAATTGGATACAATTCTTGAGAAACATGATCGAAATAAAGATAAAAAATTGAGTAAAGAAGAATTTGAAAATGTAAGATAAACTAAATCAACTTTGATTTGATAATCAATTTTAAATATTTACAGCTCTATGTTAAACTGCGCGCTGAAAAAGATCCTGGTAGTACATGGGGCCGTACGGTTAAACCAACAGCTGGAGGTGTTGATCGGTTTGTTACACGACGTGACGCAACTGATGATCCAGATGCTCATCCATCCGGTGTTGAACAACAACAAGAAGCATCGGGACCATATCATAGTGTATTAGTAGAAGAACGTGTTTGGACATCCAATTGGCTGAATCAGTATATAATAGTTTAATAGTCAACAATTAATAACTTTTCATTATATATTTCTCTATAGACTTCTTGCTGACGATAGTCATCTAAATTTACATGCTAATCCTATTGATTCGACTGATCCACAAGCACTCTACAAAAGATGTCAGGACGGCATACTCCTTTGGTAAATAGTTTCATTTCTTTCATAAAACAAGGCGATTATTTCGATTATATAAAACTAATGTAGTACTTTGTTTTCGATGAAAGGACACATTTGAGCTTCAGTTAATTGGCCTAATTTTTTACGAGATATTTCATAGAAAAAATTAATGCGAAATTTGCTTTTTGCTTTTAGTAAATTAATTAATATTGCGGTACCGAAAACAATCGATGAACGAGCTATTAACTTAAATCTATCAAAACAAGATATTTTTCGTCAAGGTGAAAATTTAGAACTTGGTAAGACAGAAGTAATAGCAATTAATAATTAACTTGAATATTTCATTCTTTTTTAAATAAGCAATTAATTCTGCTCGTGGTATTGGTTGTAAAGTAGTTAATATTCATCCAGAAAATATTTCTAAAGCTGTACCTCACCTGGTCATGGGTCTTCTGTGGCAAATAATACGAGTAAATATCAAAAACGATTGTTTATCTATTGTAATACAAGCTCCCTAATTTAGATTCAATTAACCAGTGAAATTAATTTAAAACATGTTCCTGGCCTTGTATTACTATTACGAGATGGTGAAACACCTGAAGATCTATTAAAATTATCACCCGAGGAATTGCTGTTACGTTGGGTTAACTATCAACTTAAACGGTCACAATATAGTGGTAAACCCGTCACTAATTTTAGTGGTGATATTAAAGTAAAGTTTAAGTTTTTTTTTTATTGTAAATTTTCTTCTAGACGATTTCTATCTATTTAGGATTCTGAAGCATATACACATCTACTTAGTGTTATCGCTCCAGCTAATACCAAACCACCAGTAGGACTTACTCCATTAAAGGTAATGAAAATCAAATAAAAACAGAGATTTAATCAATTAGATTTCTATTCACACTATTTAGTAAAATAAAATAAAAAAATCGGTAATTTTGAATGTTTACGCGCATAAAAGAAAATTTCATGGCATGATATTTTAATTTTTCGTTTTGATCCCTTGTGGCTTTGATTTTGTTTTCTTTCAAATATGAAATAGATATATTTAAAATGTATTTTCATCATTTAGGAAGATGATTTACGTCGTCGAGCTGAACTCATGTTAAAAGAAGCCGATAAAATTAAAGCTCGTGCACATATAACACCTGAAGATGTTGTTAAAGGAAATCCAAGACTTAATTTTGCGTATGTTATTTTTTCTAGAAAAAACATCCATTCAAAAGAAGAATTTATTTTCTAGTTTTGTGGCTAATTTATTTAATACATATCCAACATTAGATCTCCCCACTGAACAAGTACCAGAGCCGGGTCTTATTATTGAAGAAACTCGAGAAGAAAAAACTTATCGAAATTTTATTAATAGCCTCGGTCTTGAACCACATGTGAATTATCTATATTCTGATCTCTGTGATGGTCTAATTATTCTTCAAGTAATATTTATTTCATTATGTAAATAAAAGAAACCGAATTTTTGTGACGTTTTAGCTTTATGATATAATTCGTCCAAATACAGTTGATTGGTCTAAAATATATAAAACATTTAATGCAATTAAAGAACGTTTTCAAAAATTAAGTAAGTTTATTTCATGAATTTTTCTCTTTAGATGATTTGTTTTAATTTTATTTTTAGACAATTGTAATTTTGCTGTTGATTATGCAGTTGAGCCTCTTCATTTTAAAATGACAGGTATTGGCGGTCCAGATATACTCGAAGGCAATAAAACATTAACACTTGGTCTTGTTTGGCAAATAATGCGTGCTTATACATTATCAATTCTTCAAAAACTAGCACAATCAACAACTCCTATTGCTGACAAAGATATTATAAATTGGGCTAATCAAAAGGTAAAGCTTCATGTCTTTTGTTCTTGAAAAATATCTATTAGTTTTGTTTTTTGTAGTTGAAAAGCGCAAATAAAAAAACAGTTTTAACAAATTTTCAAGATCACTCATTGAGTGATTCAATGCTTATTTGTGATTTAATTGATGCGATCAAACCAGGTTCAATTCAATATAATTTACTTAAAACAGCTGGAACGCCTGAAGTATTCATTTGAAAATTTTATTTAAATTTACATTTCAAAAAACAAAATTCGTTTTAGGCTAAAATGGATAATGCTTTATATGCAATATCAATGTCACGAAAAATTGGTGCTCGTATTTATGCATTACCTGAAGATATCGTTGAAACGAAACAAAAAATGCTTTTAACAGTTTTTGCTTGTCTTATGGCAAGTGATATGAACGTAGCAAAAAATTAAATTTATTGATATGTCCATTCCACGAAAACATTCTTTTTTTCTTTCATTCTTCGATCTATTTTTTATGCTCTGCGGAAAATAAAGCATTCTCTTTCTTTTTTAATGCTTTTATTCTTATTTCCATTATGACCTCTGATTATTATTATTATAACTATTATTATTGTTTTTGTGAACTGCGTGTATATAGAAGAGAAAACAGAATTTTTGTTTTTCTTTTAGAATTATACTTACTAAATACAATCCAGTTTTGTATTCTAGCATTTCGGATTGGTGTATTCACTTTTTTACTTAATTACCACACACGACATTAAGAAAAACCATGAGAAAAAAAAAATAATAAATATAGGAACGAAAAAAAGAAAATAGAATGACAATATTTATGTGTATGTTTTTTATATATTTGCGTCTAAGAACATAATGGACGTATTCATACTCATTCGATAAGGTGTGTAGTTTGATTCTGTGCTTGTATCTTATTTTTTTACTTTTTGTTTATCATAGAAAACATAGTATAGGCGCCATGGTGGACGATTTACGATATTGGCATGCATCCGATGGAGAAATCAGCGTATCAACAGAACGGTTTAAGCATGGTACATCAAGTTTGAAATGGGTATGGTCATCATCGTCATTATTGACCTATACCAATCCTAATGTTTTTCGTGCAACAAAATGGGCGAATAATATATGTTTTGGTTTTTGGTTGTACAATGAAGAAGTATCAACGTTAGACGAAAATAATCCTCCGCAACCACTCTATGTCGAATTCTTAACGCAATCAGATCCTGAACCAATTGCACGTCTTTGGTATCATGTTAATTTCTATGGATGGCGACCATTAGGTTTACGATATACTCTTTTACCTCAATTTAAAAATAATCTATCTCGTATCCATGGTATTCGTTTTTATCCACCAGCGAATATTTCTAGCGGTGTTTATTATATTAATGCTTTTAATATTGAGTTTAAACATGCAATCGGACCTCAAGATGATTATCAGCAGCCATGGGCCACACAGGAATATATACAACGATTAAGTGATGAACCATCGAAATGGTTATTTAATTCAAATAATATTTTTCATAATCGGCCATGGTTATCAGAACATGAAGTGAATGCATCCGCCGATGGCTTCAATAAATTAAAAGATCGATGGCTTGCAAGTTTACCTTATGGAACATGGTAGTACTATATAGAAGATTTATATGTTTTAAATATTTTATTTTCTATCCAGGTCACCAAGCACAAAACCGGAACCATTCAGCAAATTACAAACATTAGCAGCACCGTATGGTATTAAACCGCATACGATTTCAAATGTACCATTAGGTAAAGGTGGGTTTCATTCACCGACTAATGCATTAGAAATTCAACCATTTCTATTGGGTCCATTAAAACGAACTGCAACCACATTTCAATGTCATAGACATAGTGGTAGTGTTGACAGCGAAGAAGGTCAAAATGTATGGGGACTATTAGTTCAATTATGTGAATATTTACTAGAGCAAGGATGGGCCGAAGGAAATCGCAATCTCGAAGGCCATTTAGATATTGGTAAGAGAAAAGCATAGATGAATTAATCTTTTGGTTTTTTTAACAGTACTCATAAAATGTTTTAGGATATGAAATACGAAATTTCCCAATGTGTCTCACTTATATTCGTAATGAATTAAATGAAGCCGACACAACAGGTTCAATATTTAAAGCCGCTATGTGGATTATGTATGGTCATTTACTTACCGAACAAGAAGCATCAATAATGAATACAGATATTATTCATAATTATCTTACAAATGTTGTACGTGAGATTTTTAACTATTTTATTTATTCATTTCTGTCACGTATTGGCAGTTATTTTTAGAACGTTGGGGTTAGATGTAATATGAAATTTAATTATACATGAGAAATGAATAGAATTATAACAAGAGATCGAATAGTTTAAAAATGAGATGAACCAGAGTATTCTTGTATAATAGACAAAAGAATCACAACAGAATCTCTATAGAAACACAAATGTATATGCATAATGAATAAATAGAAATTTAAAAAAAACTACGTAATAAAAAATCCTGTGGATGTTAACATTGCTCGATTTATTTGTCTCTATATAAAAATTTAATTTGCAAAAATAAATAAATATGAATATTTTTAGTCTCGACTTATTGTTTGTTTGTCTGATCAAACTGAGTCTATTCATCGCATTAGTGCATTGCGATATGTTTTGGATCATTGTTTTGAAACTCGTATTCATGAACCTCTTGCTTTAGGTAAATTAATAAAGAAATATGATTTTGTTTATTTTTAATATTGTTTTTACATTTACATAGACGGCACTGTTCATCATCATTGGATGTGTCATTATGAATATGCATCTTACGCATTACCTGACATAGTAAAATTTGCATCAGAAATGAACGATACAGAATTTCGTTTTTCGAATAATATTCGTCGTATTATTCGACGTTGTATTTTTACTTTGAATTTTTGTCTTATTGAAAACGAAAAAATACCAGCCAATCTTAATGCTCGAGCTGGTAAGAAAAAAAAACATACAGAATTTTTCAATTAGAAAAATATAAGAAAATTTCTATCGTAGGAAATTGTGTTTTATGTAATGGCCTTAATTTAACAAAAAAGTGTATTTCTATTTGCAATGAAGGCTATTCTTATGATCCATTCTTTGCTGGATTATTGATCACTCTATGTCCAAAAAATGACAAGAATATTGCGACGTATCTTGAAGAGTAAGTCAATGAGATTTTTCTTTGGTAAATCTATATCCATGTTGGGTTTTAATATTCGATTACCTTAGTGAATAAATATGATGGTAAGATTCATGTAATATCAGATGTTAAAAAGTGTGTACGACATTGTTTAATATCTCTGTCTATTGAAGATATTCAAAGTATGGTACGATGAGGTTGGGTTAAACATGATGTAGGGTGTGGTGAACAAATAAGTAAACATGTTCTAGAAAGAATTGGACAAGGATAACATTGTATTTTTTCCCTGAACAACGAAAGAGTATAAGAAAATGAGGCCCTAAAGCACATACATTTTTTGATGATGAATCTCAAAGATTTCAGTGTGAAAAAAATATTTTATATAATATCTGTTTAGAAAAGAAAATGGATTGTGCTACTTACTCAGTCTTTCCTATTTCGTCTAGTTTTACGTTAATTTAGCTCGAATAAATTTTTCTCTAGTTTACATAAGTGTAACCTATTTAAAACTAATTCATATTTGCTTTTTATTATAAAATTGTTTAGTCATGTCGAACCGATTCCACTCGATGGTCATCTAACTCTCAATTCAACATCAGCTTCGATTCATCGTCGTTCGAACTTTTTTGTGGCTGTTGTCGGTATGGGTAAAAATCGACGTGGTCTTGAAATATACGGTAAATAACACTCTCAATCTTGACTAAATCTTAACAAGACAGAAACATTATTTTTTTTCCCCACTTAGGTTGGTTACAAGAATCGAATAGTTATGGTGAATATGCTCGTAATTGTTCTGTATTTCTTGTACCAGCAAATAATCAAGGCGTTATCAAATATTCGAATGCTGGTTGTGGTTATCCAGGTTGGAATTGGTCACATTGGTTAGTTTGAAATATGCTTTAAAATTTGTTTCTTTTTCGAATGAACATTATAGGCCTGGTACAACTTGTTTAATCAAGCCACCGTCAGAATTATTTGAAGGTTATTGTAATTTAACAGCTAAAAATTGGTTAGCTGGTGGAACATCAATAGCTGGTCGCGATGGAATGTTTAGCAATGATTTTCTTGTTTTTGACATTGCTTTTCGTCGTTCTGTTTATTGTTTCGACAATCGTATTACAGTTTTGACAACGAATTTAAAATTATTGCAACAAATAAAACGACCTGTTGTAACAACATTATTTCAATCGAATTTTTCTAATTTAGAAAATGCTGAACAAACACCGTTCATATTAAACAATGATGAAATAATAAGCGAATTTCCATATGAGAACAGTTTTGAAAATCATGATTTATATTCCGTTACTGATCATCGAAAGATAACATATTATTTACATTCAAATGAAAATTCTAATCAATCATATCGTCTTGTATTAAGGCGTTCGCAACAAGAGATGATCTATTTAAACCAATCGTATTTAATTGATCCCAAAGACAATCCAATCATTGATATAAAGGCTAAACACTTTCGTGAAGCAAAATATGAAGATAATGAAAAATATTTCAAACCTACAAAAGATAACTATGGTCTTGGATATATTGAACATTTAAATGTTGATGATGGTACTGCTTCATTTGTTTATACGATTCTAATCGGACATGAACAATCGAATCAATGGATGGAAGAATTTTCGCATTCATCAAAAGATCCTTGGGCATCAACAGATTTAACCGATTTACCCCCTTCACTTATTTTATCAAAAAGTGATGATACACATATTTTTTATGATCGAGATACTGATACAACATGTTACACATGTTATTCTACAGATCGTTTGGAAGTTAACATTGGTCTTGTCCGATCATTTGAACAGCCATGTATGGCAATGGTACGTGGTCGTGGACCAGGTACAATTACAGTTAGCATTGCAACGACTGATTTTACGTTCAATAAAACAATGTCAATGGTGCTCAAAGGCAAATGGGTTGATGCCGAACTACAAAGCGATGATGAAAATGGTTCTGTTCATGTAAGAACAGAAGCTACGGCTGATGATGACACAAAAGTTACTGTTTGGCAACGAATCTATATGCCTGTCGAATTTGAAATGTCTCAACGATACGATTAAATTTTAGTGAACAGAATCTCATTTTATCTTAACATTGGATTTTTTTTAATATTTATTTATACTGTTTTTCTGAAACAAATATATTTATATATATATATATATATTCATTTTTATGGGATTTTATTTTAAATATACTAATTAAATAAATTATTGTAGAATTACTTTAGATATGTATCTTCGTTCATTATCATCACCACTGAGAGTTATCACATCTTTTCAGTTTTCATTTGCATTTGTTCGATCATGTTCTGTCTTGAGTAATACACCTATTTTATCTCCTTCTACATGTCTATCACAATCACAACGAACATTTATGTTTTGGCGAGCTAATATCGAACGAGAACTCTATGGAACACCCAATAAAGCATTGGCAACAAAAAAACGTCGACGCCTACAGAAAAGTATTACACAAATTATTCGTGACGGACAATTGATGCGTTTCTTAAAAGAAGCATATTTGCCTGAATGGAATAAATGGTGGAAAGAAATACAGCCTTGGGATAGAAAGTAAATTCACAAATTTAGACCAGATTGTTTCTATTCAAACGAAAATGATCGACTATTTTTAGACATGATTTTTTTCATAATGATTATGTTGTTATACATGATTTTGCTAATAATGACGAAATTAAAAAATGGACTGTACGAACAGATCTCGATGAAGGTGTTGGCGAATCAACAGCTGAACTTGTACCAAGTGGACATGGTTCAGTTCTATTTCGCGGGCAAATATCGTCGAAAGTTGTTAACCAAAATACATTATATAATCAAAGTGGCTTCGCTATTATGTTTTCTGAACGATTACGTGGAACATTTCTTATGCCAGCTCATCAGAAAGGTTGGACTAATTTTACTCATATTCTTTTACGTGTTCGAGGTGATGGAAGATTTTATGAAATTCGATTTCATACTCCTGATCAAGATCATCATCATTGGGTTAGTTAATTTAGAAAAATGAGCATTCCCATTTTTTTCTACAGTAACATTTGACATTTATTAATCTAGGCTGATATGTATTCAATGATTTTATATACACGTGGTGGTCCTTATTGGTCAACAGCTAAAATCCCTTTTGCACAATTCTTTCGTAATAATATGGGACGTATCAGTGATAAACAATATCCTTTTCAACCACTTACGTGCACACAAGTGTCTATATCTGTTCTTGATGCTGCTGATGGACCATTCGAACTTGAAATCGGGGAAATTAGTCTCCTACGCGATTTACGTTATACATATGATAAATTTGCTTATGAGCAATATACACTACCACCTTATACAACTGTTTAGTAAGTAGAAATTGAAATTATGCATCATAAGAAAACTCATTGTTCTCTCTCTTTCTTTTTTTCTCGTTTTAGTAATTGATCACCAGCATGAATTTGATCTTTTTTTTGTTGCGTGTGTTTTTGTTAAAAGAAAAAAGAAAATCAAATACATTAGCGTGTCTAAAGAAAAAAACTATTTGTAATATTTTCCATCGATTGAATAGACATATTTAGTTGGAGACTTTTTCGGTGGTGATGCATAAACTACACGACGATTCGTCGAAATCGGTGGAGTCGCTAATGTAAAAGATGATTCAGGTTCAACTTTTTTTCTAATCATGACATATTTTGTTGATGGCTGTTTGTTTTCTATTACTGTTCTCTGCACTGGTCGTCGTACTATTTTAACATATTCCGGTTCTTGTTCATAGTCATCATCGGGATCGACGATTATTTCATTTACAGGTTTTCGAATCTTAACCTTTTGTACTGAACTCTTTTTCGGTTTCTCTTTTTCATAAATAATCTCTTGTTCATGAGTCCTAGGATCAATAATTACTTTTCGTACAACTTTTGGTGAATCATTATCAACATAAACATATTCAGATTTTCTTCTACGCGATTCGTGACGTTTCGGTGGACGTGCTATTAATTGACCGTCTGAAGTTTCATAAAAAACTGTTCGAGGCTCTCGGTGTCGATATTTATGTCGCCGTTTTTCAAGAAGTGGTGGTGTTGGCGTTGGTGTTCGAGGATGTCGAATTATTTTTAGAATATTATCATCTTCGTCCAGTACAATTTGCTCACCGCTAGTTGTATTACGTATTTTTATTCCGTGCTATACAAAACAGGAAAGATTATATAATTGCTACGATTTTCTTTCAAGCAGTTTATTTTTAAAAATGAATCAAAAAAAACTATACTTACATCATCGGATTCAATTACGTGTTGTTGTCTATGATCAGACTCACCATTCTGCATTTCTGCATACTTTATTCGGTGTTCTTTAATCGGTTTTGTTCGAACAATTCTTCTAGTAGTTACTACTGGCTGCGAATCGTTATCATCATCAGAATCAATATAATAGCGTTGTGTAGGTTTTGGTTTTCGATCCGTTACGACAACATATTCAACATCGCGACTTAGACGTTGTGTCATATTAAATCAATTGAAATGAAGTAACTAATAATAATAACAAGTAATATTTTTATGTTTGTGATTTTTGTACAAGACCGTATGAAGAATAGAATGAGTTTCTATGTAGAAAAATCTGTATTTACTTATTATAGTAGCCAATGAAAAATTACAAAAAAAAATACAATTGATGGCATTCTTTTTTCATATTGATTAGCAGCCACGTTCTTTCAAACAAAAAGTAGCTCACAAAGGTTTCATCAAACAATGATTGCTTATTACACTTTATTTATATTCAAATAAAATATAAGAAACTAAAAGTAGATGCTTCGACTGGTCAGCATAATTCGGAAGAAAATATATAGAACATTTTTATGAAATCCCCATTGATGATAGTGTTCAGTATATTACAATTTATCTGCTTGGTAAACATATTGCTCTTGGAGTAGTATATCGGCCATCCTCCTTACATGTTATGTATTGAAATAGCGGAACATAATTAGCACGGCATATTGGTTCTAATTGACAAGTTGGTAATGTATAGTATTTTAGAATAATGCCAGTATCACGAGCAATTGATGCTTTGTATACACATGATCGTTCTGAGAAAAGTAGGAAACCGACCGAGTTTGGATCCTGTTGTGGATAACCATCACACGTAACTGAAATATGAAAGAAAATAAAACATCATTAATAAGATAGAGCGCTTTTTTTCTAGCGCAAAATAGACATTTAATAAATTTAATACATTTCGGGTGTCTTCAGTCTTCCTTTTTCTTGTTTACTCATTCTTTTTCTCTAATTGTACCAATGTCAACTGAAAAGAATCGCTGGTAAGAGTTGCAACGAATGAAATAGATTAGGTTTCATGTGTTTGCTTATACTTATTTTATTACTAGTCAACATGATTCAAGTAAATGTGTTGATTGGACAATAACTCGACGTAGTGATTATAAACCAGGACCAAATGAATCGGCTGGTTCTCATTATTCAACTACACGAACTTTTAATGCTACAGAAAAAAGCTCAAAAACAAATGATAAACAGAATATATCAGAATCAGCGATAAAATCAACAATGAAAACAAATAAAAATTTAGCATCATCAACACGTAATTCTGTTTCAAATAAATCCAAATCGATCTAATGTACTATGAATTCTAACACTTCGATATCGAGAACTCGAGTGATGTGAAATCGTCTGTTTCTTAGCAACATATCATCATTGTTGCTAAAGCTCTTTCGAATACTCTTGCTCTAATCTATATATGAACTGATTTAATTGAATTGAAATAAATAACGATTACTATTGCAAAAGAATAATAATTATATTTGCATGATTATAGCATACCAGGACAATTACTCCACATTTTATTACGATCGAAACTAGAAATAATAGATACTATTTTCACAGAAAACATACATAAAACAAGACATACTTAACTGTTGTTGAACACCAACGTGCTGATTGTGGTCCACTAACACAATCTGAATAGGTTATGCCATTGTAAATAAAGGGAAAGTAGCATGAATCGTAATCTATGATTGAATATTCAAATAAAAGCAACGTTCTAGAAGTAAAATAAAGATGTTTCTTACCTAAACAATATCCCCATAACCCATGTTGATCAAGATTCGATGTGACTGAACAAAATAATGAAAATGATGTTGTTGTTTGAGTAGTTACTGTGCGATAAATGCATCTTGAAAATGATGTTCCTTGATAAACAAATGGAAAAACACAATAACTTCCATTTCCTGTACCACCCATAGTTTTAATACGAGGTGCTAAATTATATTTGCACAAAGTATTTATGAATAAAATCAGTGGTTTTCATTTCAACTATTCATTCTTACTTACCTTGACAATATTTCCATTGGTGATCTCGATCAAAATCGGACGTTAATGAACACCAACTATCGTTGACACTATCACTTATACATCTCTCATACCATTGACCAAGATAAAGAAATGGAAAAACACAATCAGTCGAGGCTATCAATAGAAATAGTAGTCACACAAGTTACAAGAAAAACAATATATATATAGATATTCACTCACGTATCGCATTAGTTGTGTTGGTAACGGTTTCAGTTGTAAAAGGAAAACTTGATATCGTATTCTGTACTCCAAATGTTTCATTAGATATTGATACATTAGATGTTGTTAATAGTAAAGATACAAGATGTGAAACAGTCACTGTAGGAGTTGATGTCGATATCCTTTGAGTAGTAGTATCGGATTCTAAAGGACTAGATAAACTAGACAAGTAGCCTGTTGTTCCAATTGTTATCATAGATTCCGTAGAGCTCTTCGAGAATGATTCCTTCGAAATTGTTGAAGTCAAAAATACTGTATTACCAGTTGGCAGAGATGGATTATTTGTGCTTTCAGCATAACCTACGTTCAATGAAGATGATGTTGAAGGTGCCTTACTCATAGTGTGTAACGAATATAACCAGTTGGATATCATCTCAGTTTCCACTGAACTAGTTACGGTCGCCGACGAGCCTGTTTGACTAACATTCGGTGCTGATAACAAATGAGTATTCATCGTGTTTGATTCAGTGTTGATCGAAATTGAAGAAGCACTACTAGAACTACTCGGCAGCCGCTGACTGACAGTTGAAGGGAAACTACTCGACACAGTGCTTGATAATGTCGATGACGGAACCGAACTCAACATAATTGAAGATAGTATCTCTCGAGTAGTTACAACTGGTATTGCCGATATTGCGTTCAACGTACTTAAATTCGTAGCAAACGTAGACGTTTGATTCACGATATCAATAATTGTATTCGACATGGATGTTCCATTGGTAACCCCTAATGTGTTGATCGGAAATGTAACAGACGCCGAACTGAGAGGAGGAGCATGTGTACCACCCGAAAGTGTTGGTAATGTATTTTCCCCCCAAACACCACTCGGCATTGTATTCGCTGATTGTGTACTATTTACGATCAGCACTGTGTTAGTCAATAACGTGGAGTTAAGTGAATTAAAGTAAGGCTCCTGTGTGCTGCTTACCAGTTCCGGTGTAATTTGATTCGAACTGGTGCTTGACGGTGGCGCCATCGAAGATGTTCCATTGCCTACCCCAAGTGTGTTAATCGGTAACGTTATAGATCCCGCAGTGTTATAGACCTCCTGTGTGCCACTCGAAAGTGCTGGTATTGTACTTGACACTGAAACACCACTCGGTGGCGTATTCACCGATTGTGTACTATTTCCGATCAGTACTGTGTTAGCCATGGATCGGGTATTCAGCGTATTCAGGTAAGCCTCCTGTGTGCTCTTTACCATTTCCGGATCCATGGCTAACACAGTACTGATC